AGTCGAATAGTGGGGCTTGGGGACGGGCCGGGACGGACTGCCGCATACTCATTGCAAGGGCACCCAGGTGAAGATTTTCCTTTTACCGCAGAGGATGTAGTTTTGATTGCATGAAATAACCAAAGAAGGCATCCTGAGTGGCAACCAAGAAATCAACACACGGGCCGCTACAACTACCCACCCTTTAAGGCAACGTAGGAAACGGCACCCTGGTGATGGCTCATGTCCTGCCGAATTCAGATGATCAGACTGTGCTGGTTTGCTAGCTGTCTGCAAGTACCTTGCAAGTGCTAATACCAGGAAGGACAATGTGTTGTCCAGGGCCCACCCGTGTGCTGAGTGAGAATCTTGATGTTCCCTCACCAAAAATGATGGTGTTGAACGATTCAACAGGAACAGCATGGGACAGACAGCAGCGCATGCAACTGTTAAGGTACCCAGGCATCTGGTGTGGTATATTTCAGCCGGACTAAATACAAATGACAAATGCATTGCCGATGCTTGTCCAAGGGCCTCTGCTGTGATAAACATAGAACGAGCATAGCAGACCTGGCAACGGCCAGTGGTTTGCTTACTGCAGCAGCTTGCTTTGGCAGGTCTCTACATTTTCCCAGGGGCTCTGCCGATTCAGCAGCAACTGGAATTGATAAGGCAGGCGTGGGAGAACTGGCCTGAGCCACCAGCATCAACTAACCTGACAGCCCACCATGGCGATCTGCGGGGGCTGTGGAAGGCAGCGCGGCAGCATTTAAGTTTAAAGACCAGTGCTCAAGCAGTGGTGCCAGAAGCTGGCTCTGTGCCCCAAGGAGCAGAAACTCCAGAACAACACATTCCCAGAACTCCACATGCAGGAAAAAATGGCAACCACTGTTGCTGCTCCTGCCGTGCACTGAGCAGATGGACCACAGCGAATGAAGGACCTACGGCAGAACAGTTGCTGAAAAAGCTTAGATGGGTGTCACTTGGCCCTCACTACAACTGGGGAGAAAGAACTTATGACATAAAGGGGTCCCATCAGGAACTTCCAGAGCAGCTGAAGCAAATAGGATGGCAGTTTGCGCAGCAGGTGGCTGACATTGAAATTCTTCAGAATGGGGATAGGGGAAGCTTCGACACTGCAGGCTGCTCCCAAGGTAGTTCCCAAGCAGAACGTGACTGTAGTCACAGGTTTGCCAGCACTTCTTTTGTGAAGAAGAGGGAGGCATGCAGGATAGTAACTAGAAATGTTGTTAATGGGAATGTTCATGAAGCAGGCCAAACAGGGACCCTCCCGATGTACAGTGGCAGTCTTTCAGCTGTGCAATCAAACATTCCACGCAGTTCAGAACATTTGAATGGTGCAACAGTGAGTTTATTAGGCACAAGGCAACAAGTGAGCCCAGATCCATGCCAGTTTCATCCAGATGCAGCCTTGGTCAACTACTACCCTGTGGGCAGCACTCTCGGTGGCCACAAGGATGATGTTGAGAGCGACTTGACTCAACCCATAGTCAGTGTGAGTCTGGGCTGCCCAGCTGTGTTCCTCATTGGTGGCTCTTCAAAAGAGACCGTTCCCACAGCAGTCGTGCTCAACAGCGGAGACGTTGTGGTCATGTCCGGTCCTGCACGGGCCTGTTACCATGGTGTCCCACGTGTGCTTTCAGAACGTGGACTGCCACAAGCACTGCGCGATGCCAAGGACAAAGGGGATTACACCCCGTATGTGGCGGCACTTGAGGGCATGCGTATCAATGTTAGTATTCGCATGGTGGGCGCCTGAACTTGGAAGGAAGCCGGTGTGTAGCGGGGGGTTTTGCACTTCGGTTGTCCTGCATGTTGTTTACTGCTTTGTTTTCAGCGTTTTCCCTGGTTGGGGCAGTGGCTTCTAACAAAACTTTCTTTACATCAATCATTGCATCAGAAAATAAGGTGATTTTTTGAATTCGCGAGTTGCCTGTGGACTCTCCAAAAGAATTGTACATAAAAGCTTGCTCACATGCAAATTGGCGGTGCTAGAGAGCTCATGCCCCAGGCAATGAAATGAAATTTTCCGCCATAAGATTCTCACAGCCCACCTCAGCGCCCGAATCTGGAGAACACATAGGATTATGGTCGCAGGCGGCCTACATTCTGCACCGCTGCGCCTGCAAATTGAATGTTTTGCGGTAGCACCCCCGCTGATGCGACAGTCTCCACATGCACTCGCCAGCCCCTGGCGGTGACCGTGAACGATCTGTTGGCACCCTCATGGCGTTTGCTATTGAACAAATAGTGACGTGCTTCCCAGTCACCGTTGGACATGAAAATCTGAAAGCACGCCGCCCAAGTTCCCTTGGCGATGAATGCTGTTGGGAGGGAGGGAAGGCGCTAAAATTCGCGAGACAAAAGTTCAAAAGACAAAAAGTTCGTGGAAGAAACTTTCGTGTTCGGCCCAAGCGCGAAATACAAACTAGAGTTTGTGCGTATCGAACTCTTCTGAGCCCATCCTGTGATGGCACGCCACAAAGTAATCAGAGTCGGAAGTAAACAACGGGAATCGATCGATGTCCCATGAATGAGTCCGTCGAGTGCGACGAAGAGAGACCACCCGGCCACGCAAGCAGGGACAGCAGGAACAAGAACAAAAACAAGAAAATGAGCAAGTGTGACTCTCTGTGCGCAAATGCAAACCGTACCATTTCGCGTGCCGTACCCCACAGTACCGAAATCGCAGCGAATCACTCCGCAGACCATTTAGAGGCCCAGGCCTGCCAGCACCGTGCTTCGTGCCCCCCGGATCGCCCACCCAGCGCCACCGCGGGCGGGGGCAGGGCGCCTCCCGCGGCGAGCCATGCGCGGTCCCGTTCAGTGCGAATCGGCGGCGCGGGTGCCCCAGCACGCCGCCGTGACCTGCCTGGGGCGCAGCCCGCTCTTCCGCCCGTGCGGCCGCACCTCCCTCCTGGGCCTCCCCCCTCTGAGGCCCCTCCCCCCGGCCCCCCTGAGGTGGAACCCCCTGCGCGATGCCCGGCGTCGAACACACGGATCCACCGTTCTCCGCATGGCCAAGGCTCCGGCGGCATTCATGTTGGGCGCCAATCCCAGCTGGTCTCGATCCATGCTCTCTCGGAGGATTGGGGATTGCAATTTGCGGTGCCCACCGCCGGGCTGCTCCACGGAGGACGAGCGCGAGGGCGAGGACGGCGTGGAGGACCCTGGAAGGAGCCCCAGGCGCTCCGGGCGGCCCTGGAGCTGGATTGGGCGGCTGGCGTCCAAAGTGAGGCTGGAGCAGTTCGTGATGCTGCTGTTCAACATCCAGCTGCTGTTCTTCCTGCTGCGCCTGTGGCCGCTAGGCGGGCGGGCGCGGGTGGGCGACCCGCAGGCCGTGAGCGTGCACGTGCCGTTCTCGGAGTTCGTGGCGCGCGTGCGGGGCAACGACGTGGAAGCGGTGCAGATGGACGGGCCAGAGATGAGCTTCAGCCTGCGGCCCAGCAGCAAGGCGCTGCGGGAGGCGCCGGAGGGGGCGGAGTCGGGCCGGCTGACGTACACCACCACGCGGCCACTGGACTACCCCACGCCCTACGACCTGCTGGAGCAGCACGCCGTGCGGTTCAGCGCAGTAGAGAGGCGGGGCAACGCCTTCGTGACTGTGGTGGTGGGTGCGACTGGCGCGGATTGTGTGGCGTCGATGATTTCTGTCGGGAACGCGCGGCGAATGCAAATCTTTGCACCACGAAGGCCTTCTGGGGCGCAGAGGAGTGTCGCTCAACTCAGTTATTTCAGAGAGCAATCATGAATCAACACTAGGGTTGTCCATTGTACTGGGTGGGGATCACGAGTCGGTCAATATCGCATTCCCCTTCTTCTAGCGAGTGCACGCTATTGTGCCGTGCTTTGGGCTATGCTGTGAGCACTGCTGGTGTTGCACTGGGATGCTTCTGCATGTTCTTGCACATGTTGTAAATGGCTGCAACTGGCAGGTGCTGTGGGTTAGGAGTGAACGCAAACAACACTGCGGAGACGAATAAACGCATGTGTTTGGGACCAGTTGCTGAGATCGCCAATCTGGTGGAGGTACTTTTGTTTTGTCATGTGTGACAACTGTAATCGAAGTGAAAATTCCAGAATAAGAGGGTCTCACAGAATTCATGCTCAGAAGAAGAATGACCACTGTGAGATATGTTCTCCGTGAGAAATGTTCTCCTTTCCATTTCAAGAAAATTAGGGAGATTAATCTGTTTGGTCGCCAGATTGATTTTGGCCAACACTGCTGGCACCGGGTGGACCTGGCAGCTGTACTGTGTTTTCTGAGCGATTGGTTGGATTGGTGTCCAGGTGTATGCTTTGTACATCGGGATCCTGCTGAGCACGATGGGGCGCCTGCAGCTGAAACTGCCGCAGCGCAGTGCTGGGAGGAAGCACCAGAACAATAGCAGTGGCAGCGGCGGCATTACTTTTGCGGATGTGGCCGGTGTGGATGAAGCCAAAGAGGAACTGGAGGAGATTGTGGTGCGTGATGTGTGTGCTGCTGTCAAGCAGCTTGCAATTTGCAAAAACGCATCAGCATCTTGTCATGGTCCCCCACAGCTTGATGTTGAGGCACATGGCAGTTCTGGTGGTGAATACCCCATTTTGTCTGACGAATACACTGACGTGTTGTATCCAGGGGAGAAAGGACTGGACAAGAAATGAAGAAGCTGTCTACCAAAAATAGTAAACAGACCTGCCCAGATTTGGGTTTTGCATGTACAACTGTCATTCAGGCTGCTATGAGGCCTGCCACTTGACAGAGCGTAGCAGTACTGGCCAAATGCCCTGAATGTATTGTTGTGATTGGATTGTAGCCACCCGAATTGTGCACAACGAATCCCATGTGTGCTGTGTTTACAAGGCTGTTGTCTTGGGGTACTGCCTTGCAGGATTTTCTCAAGAATCCTGAGAAATTCAGCCGTCTGGGTGCTCGTCCTCCCTGCGGCGTGTTGCTGGTTGGGCCCCCAGGAACAGGGAAGACCATGCTTGCGAAGGCAGTGGCTGGGGAGGCCGATGTCCCATTCTTCAGCATATCTGCAAGCGAATTTGTGGAGTTGTATGTGGGCATGGGTGCCATGCGCGTCAGAGAGCTCTTTGCTCAGGTGAACCGCAGATATTACTGGTTTGAAACATTCTGTAGGTGGGGAAGAAGCGACAATGGCTAAGGGAACGCTGTGTTGTGCACAATAAGTGTCCTTTGCTCACAACCCTCTTCAACAGTACCAAGATGAGGCAACAGTCTGTGAGCGCTTTCACACAGCAGAACAACTTGCTGCTGCACGGTCCAGCGACAACACCGAGTTGCTGTCTGCATGGTAAATACACAAAGCTGTGTTTGGCACATTAGTGAATATCATCATGTTGGCAGACAAGATGCAATGTGATGTGGTGACAAGCCCCACCCACAGGCGAATTTTGTGATACTTTTTTCCACACTGGAGATGATGGCAGTGGACTGCTTAGTGTGGTGTTTTTCGGTTTTGTTTGACCATTTAAACATTTTGCTGCCAGGCGAGGAAGGAGGCCCCATCCATTGTGTTCATTGATGAGGTAGACGCTGTTGCCAAGGGCCGAGACGCTCGCCTGAGGGGAGTTGGCAATGATGAGAGAGAGCAGACCCTGAACCAGTTGCTCACAGAGCTGGATGGCTTTGACAGCAACAAGGACAATGTGGTCATAACCCTGGCTGCCACAAACCGACCCGACGTTTTGGATGCAGCTCTCCTGAGGCCTGGCAGGTTTGACAGGAGGGTGTCAGTGGAACAGCCAGACAAGTTTGGCAGGGAGCAAATTTTGAAGGTAACTGTGGTGTGACTTCACATGCCCAGCTGCTGAGAACATGCTGAATTCAAGCAAAGCTTTTCTTTCACTAAGATTCTCAGGGTGCTGTCAATCAGTTCATTTCTCTTGCCTATCTCTGGATACTTTCTTTCTCCCTCTTTTCCTGACCATCTGGCAGTGAAGAGAGTCTTGGACCTTCCTGGTCTTCTAAATAGCAAAGACAACGTCCTTGCCCCACATTATCTTGTGGGTGCTGGTCTATTGGTTCGTCATGCTGCAACGAATGCACTCAAATAATCAAATCTGTGTGCTCGTGTACTCAGGTACATATGGATCGGCAACACCTCCCCCTTGCTGATGATGTGAGCGTAGAAGGGATCGCTGTGGCGACCTCTGGGTTCACAGGTGCTGACCTGGCAAACTTGGTCAACGAGGCAGCCTTGTTGGCAGGCCGAAGGAGCCAGAGCAAGGTCTCCATGAGAGAGTTCGACGAGGCAGTCCTCAGGGCTGTTGCAGGAATTGAGAAGAAAAGATCCCTGGTGCAGGGGATGGAGAAGGAAGTGGTGGCGAAGCACGAGGTGATAGTCAGCAGCTGCAATGGTTCTGATCATGAATGTTCACGAAGTTCCCCTTAGATTACATTCATGAAAATTGACAAACCATCAGCCGTTCAAGCGATTTGGATGGATCGCTAAAATTTTTCAGGATGGCAGTGAGTAGACCAGGAAACCTTCCAGCAAGAATGTTGAAGACTCGACAGTGGATGCTATCAGCTTCTGTGAATGACACTTGCTGCACTTTTGCTCCTGTGGATGCAGGTGGGTCATGCCCTTGTGGGTACGGCGATCGCCCGTTTGCTGCCCATGGCGCCAGAAGTGGAGAAGTTGAGCATCATACCAAGAACTGGAGGTTCATTGGGGTATGATGTTTCTGGCATTTACTGAGGGGATATTGCGGCTGTTGTGTCTGGCTGTTGCGCACCCAGGTTGTAGCTGTGATAATCCATTGTGGATATGATAATCCTATTCTGGATGCAAAACGTATGTTAATTTGTGGAAATTCAGGGCTCCAGATTGTGAACTTCAAGCTTGTTGGTCTGCTGGTGCATGCATGCCCCTGTGCAGCCTCTGGTTGTGCATTTTGAGCCGTACTGTGGTTGATATTTTGAAATCAATCCTGTGCATGTTTTGCTCTCATTGACTCGTAGGTTCACATACATTCCTCCTGCTCATGAGGATCGGGCTTTGATGTTTGACTCCGAACTTCGAGGTCAGCTGGCCATCCTCATGGGTGGAAGGGCAGCGGAGATGATCACATGTGGCCAAATCTCATCAGGCGCATTTGATGACATCAAGAGGGCTACACAGCTGGCCAACCGTGCAGTGTCAGAACTTGGCCTGAGCACATCTGTTGGGCCCATCAACGTTGGGGTTCTGGCCTTGGGCTCTGAGGAAGCCGGCCTCTTCCCAAGGTAAGGCGCTCAGGAGGGTTGCTGTTCTTTGACAACATGTGCATAGAGCTACAAAGCAACACCCCTGCGCAGACAGGTCAGATGGGAGATGGTTCGATGCAACATGTCGATGAAACATGTTTCAGCCACATGCGCCTTGCTGAACCTCGATTTTTTGAAGGGCATTTCCTTCTCCCCTTGTCACCTCCCCTCCCTGGATAGGAGTCTCATGCAAGCAATTGTTCAAAAGTGGTTGCTCTTTGTATGGCCTGATTTCCTTCAGAGGGTAACATATCTGGCCTTCCCTCCTGGTCCGGCATGTGATTACAGTTCCACCACATCTGATAGTCAGGTAATGTGGTTAGGGCCACTACAAGGAGACTAAGGGGTGAAGACTGACATCATAGTTCCTGGGTTTTGCACGGTCTTTGTTTGGCGCCCACCTGCTTGACCATGAGCCACTGGCCTGATGTCAGGTATCTTGTTGACGGGTGCCTGAATGTGGGACCACGGTTGCACAGGGAGGGGGGCATGGCGTCTGTGCTCGTGGAGAAGGACGTCAAGGCCATGCTGGAAGCCGCCCTGTCAGTGGCCGCGGACGTGGTCACCACCAACAGGAACATCCACGAGGGCCTGTCCCATGTGCTGTCGAAGGAGGAGCGCATAGAGGGCGAGTCCCTCCAGAAGTGGCTGAGCCACATCGAGATTCCGTCCAGCCTCAGTGCATTCGTGCTCCAGGGCACCCTGCCAAAGGTGGCCCCTGCACGGAGAGAGCAATGACGGAACGATGGCTTCATCGTGTGCAGCGAAGAGCGCCACAGGGGTGTGCAGATGGGGAGCTGTATGAATCCATGCGTTTCTGTATTGTGGGGCGTGCCATGGCTGGCAAAGTGGTCAGCTTAGGGGGTTGAAGGAACGGGGTTGAGGATGACTCTGCGGGCTGAATGCTTTTTGGGGAAAGAAGATTGTTTTGCCTTTTCATTGGCTCGATGTCGGATTGCAGTTTTGATGCAGGGATGTAGGAAGCACACTAGGTGCTGCCGTGGGTCAGGCGCGCTGCGCAGATTGGGGCAATGCGATTGGTGGCTTGGGCGCCGCTCAGAGGGAGATCGTGTTTGCTGGATTGCTGCTTTGTTGCCTTTACTGAGTTGACGTGATTGATGGGGTGTGGCGGAGGGCGCGCTGCTCTCCTCCGCGACTACACAACCTTTGGACAATAAATCACAGCGGTTGGGGTGCATGAGCCCAGAAGCGGATGCTTGTGAAGGAACGGATTCATGAACGAAGGAGACGGGGGGTCTGGACGGCCACCTATTGTGGACCGGCCCGGGGGCGCAAATGGAGTTGTGGGGGTCAATAGCAAGCAGGGGACACGATTGATACAGGCGGTCCTGTACATTAGGTTTGTACTCATACAGAATTTGATGATACCTTTGATTGCATATTGTTAGCACATGGGGCAGGGTACGCTGCATGGATTGCTGTGGTGGCCCTGGCGCCTTCGCTGTGGACCAGCACTGGACTGAACTTCTGGTAGTGGTTTTTGACATCACAACACACTGGCCTTGGTCGTCAGAATGAGAAGACAATGTAAAAACACGATCTCGGATTCCTCTTGCATGGCTTTGATGTTGCTGTTGGCGTGGTGTCTGTATCAAGCCACCAGGCCTGGTGTTGACCATCTTGGAATTGCCTCGAACGCTTCCATTTCACTAATCTGGGTGAATCTGCTTGTGAAATGACGTGCAGCCAGCAACAAGGGTACGCTTTAATGCTTGGCAAACAGCTTGGAAAGTAGCTAACGTAGACCATGTGCTGTGCCATGATGCAGTGGAAGCCATGCAGTCGTGAGGCCCCTTGGTGGCAGCTGTCCCCACCCCCCCACCCACCCACCCCACGCCGCCACCTGCCACTTGCATTTTTCTAACTGCTCAGCGTGCTGACCCTGTGCAGCCTGTGTTGCATGTCAGTACATACAAACTGCCTACACATAGCTGCCAAGGTGATGAAGTGAATCACCGGTTGCCTTAAACTAAATAAGGTGGTATTCGCCTTGCAATGTCGCTGCATGAGCGAATAGATTTGTCTGCTAGGTGCCTCGCAGGTGGATGGTGGAGTAGCATGCATTTTCTGACTGGTGTATTTTCATCTGATTTGATCCACCAATCAAAAAGCTGAGGCACACCAGGGACCCTCCTGTGCGTGATCATGTTGGAACCCCAGCATTCAGTGTTGCACACCTAACAGGAACCAGAATTCGATTCGCTACTTGACAATTCATGCGTGTTAGCCAATCTTTACTTTGCAACGAAGCAGCGCCCATTGAGGAGCACCCAACAGCTGAATGAACTTCCAATGGCTGCGTTGGTTACCCTGCCTGGGCGCCGTCCCAACCAGCCCACTGATTTCGCTCCTGCCACCGTATCGTTTTGGTGGGTTGCCAGCCCAAACAAGCTCCCCCTAAGCCTGATGGTCCAATTTGCACACGTCTTCATACTCCAGCCACACCTTTCGTCTCCGTCCAGCCCCAACCTGCAACTCAACCTCCGCCTTGTACTTGTCCGTGTCTATCCCCAGCAGCACCCCCCTCTGCCCGCGGTAAGCCCCATTCACCACCAGCACCCGCCCTCCTGTCTTCGGAAGCACCGTCTCGAGCTGCTCCTGGTCCACCCTCACCACGTCCCCGGACCGCAGCATCCTGATCTCCCCCACGTACCTGTCCACCACGGCCTCCACCACCCCCTTCTCGTTGTAGTACCCATGCTCCTTCAGCCCCTCGCTCAGCACCTTCACGACGATCCCCCTCTGCAGCCAGTGGTCCGCCCTGACCGGTTCCCTCCTCGACTTTGCCGCCATCTCCGACCTCATAATCTCCTCCAGCTTGCTGGCTCCCTTCCCTACCTTGCCCCCCCCCAGCCTGGCCCCCTCCCCCCCTTCCTCCCGATCATCATCCCCCACAACCGGGGATGCTGAATTTCCCCCAGACCGGTCCTCTCCCTTTCCCCCCTTCTCCAGGGCGGCCTTGGTCCCGCCAAAGCCGGGCATGCTGAAAGACAGCGGGCCGGCGCCCTCTTCTCTCACAAGCTCCCGGCCCTCCACAGAGTCCGTCTCCGGGCCCCTGGCGCTCTCCTCCGCCCTCCTGATTTGCTCCTCCAGCTCCCTGAGCTGCCTCTCGTCGTCCTCCCGCTCGTGCTCCTCCCGCTTGCGCTTGTTCCCCGCCCGTATGCCCTCGATGTCGTCCCTGGGAATCAGCTGCATGAACCACCCCTTTGGGGTCTCCTCCACCCTGCACTTGCCCGTGCGCCCCAGGTATTTGACGAACTCCGTGAGAGTCAGCCACTTGGTGGAGTTCATGTGCACATGGTGGCGGTCGGATATGAACTCGTTGTACACGACGTTGGCGGAGACGCGGGTCTGGGGGTGCCCGCGCTTCAGGTGGTCCAGGAACTGCTCCTCGAACTCCTCGGAGTAGCCGTCCACGAACCGTTCGGGGTTGTGGCCGAAGAGCTCGAACTGCCGCCGGTGGCTGTCGCTCATCTGGTGGCACTTGAAGCCGTTCTCGTCGCGGCACTGCTTGCGGCACAGCTGGCAGTACCAGCGCAGCCGCTGCAGGCCCTTGGCCTTGATGCGGTTGGCGATCGCCTTGGGCGTCAGGAAGCCGTTCTTGCCCCCCATGGCTGGCCCCGGGTGCGCCGGGCGCGTGGAAGTGGGCGAGGGGAACTGGTGCGGCGGTGGGGTTGCGGTGTCTTGGCTGGGCCGGAGCCGTCCACCCCCCTCCAGTAGTCATCAATGTGAAGGGCAGCAGGAAAATGAGGAAAAAAACTGGGTTTTCGGAGAAAACTTGATACTTTGAAATATTAAACCCTTCCGCATCAGAAAATTTCACCGTTATGCTTTTTGCTCCGCATTTTGTTTTTTAGAGCGTTACCTCTATTTTTTTCGTTGCTCCGCACAGAAAGGCCAAGATTTGCGTTACTGCTTATATTATTTTCTCCGCAAAAAAGGACCAAGCGTTACGTTGCTGTGCGGAAGGGTTTAATATTTTACTGTAACCTGCTCATACGCGTCGCTGACATTACGTAAGTCCGTCGCCCAATCAGTCCACTGCCGCAAGCCTTTCTGGAGGGTGTGTCCCCACACCAGAGGGAACGACAGGGAGTGACCCACAGACACGCGCAACGCCCTGGCCCCACACTTTTTGGCCGGCCCAGTCGCTGCGCCGTCGCCCGCGGTATGGAGATTCGACCGTTCCGGGAGGGCGACGAGGCGGCGGTGCGTCGCCTGTTCTTGGGGAGTATGATGGACACGGTGCACGGCTTCGTCCACGTGACGTGGCCGTCGATGCTGCCCACCGCCTGCTCCCTCGCGCTGGCCGTCGCCGCGCCCGCGGCCGCGTTCGCCTGGCCGCGTTTCGGCCCCAGCACGGGCGCCTCGCCGTACGGGACTCCCTCGTTCATTTTTCGGTGGCTACTCCTGTCGACCCCTCTGGCCGCCGCCTACTACCCCCTGGCGCGGGGCGCCGTAAGGCACGGCATGTGGCACTACGTCGAGGAGTCCATGCGAGGCGACCTGGCGGACATCTCGGGGCACTACCGGGAGTCACTGGGGAAGGGCTTCTGGGTGGCGGTGATCGAGGGCGAGGTCGTGGGGACCGTGGCCCTGGACGTCTGGGGGGGGGAGGGCCGGCAGGCCGGCGGCAAGCCGATCGGGGAGCTGCGGCGGCTGGCGGTGTCGCAAGAGTGCCGTGGCCGGGGGACCGGCGCGGCGCTCACGCGCCACGTGCTGTCGGAGGCCAGGCGGATGGGATATTCGGAGGTGCGGCTGACCACCTCCACGGGCGTGTACAAGGCCAGGCGGCTGTACGACAAGCTGGGATTTCGGCTCTTGCGGGACCCGGTGCCCGTTCTGGGCACGGGGCCGGCCCCTGGTTGGTTTAGTTGGGTGCTTGGGTATCTGGGGGGTGTGAGATTTATGCACGTGTACGATTACGGGATCGACCTCGAGGATCTGCCGGCCAAATAGGCCAGCCGAGGGGGCGGGGCCCCGGGGCGGTGCGGGCGCTGTGACTAGGCGCTGGGAGGGGAGCGGCGACCTGTCTACGAGGCATTTTGGCGGGAGTGGCGGGCTGAACGGAGAAGCAAAGGACTTGGGCCTGGGGCATGGCTGCGCGAGTAATTGTCGCAATGTTTCAAGGCAGGGAGGCGCTCCATTCTATTCAGCCAGCTCTCTTCAGAATTACTGAAGTGCTGGGAAGCAGGGGTAGTGGTACTGGCAGTGGTACTAGCAGTGGTAGCCTCCAACTGTGGCATGCAGCTGGTCGGCAAGCCTGGGGAGTTTTGCCATCAAAACATCGCCCAGCTCCTTGCCTGGACATTTCCAACAGCGTTGTTGTAGGTGTCTCTTGAAGGATGTCAACTGTGAGAATCACAGCTCATCAGCACCTACACAATAAGTACTGTGCCTTTGTCAACAAGCATTTACATGATGGGGTGACATGACCAATGCGACACAAGTTACTACTGGCTTAGGCCCCTTTGCCTGCACAAGATAGCCACAACCAAAGACTTTGAAAGCAACCCTCTATGCACAAGCACACCAGGCCATTGCATGTTGGGTGTTGGCAGTTGAACCTGGTAGACAATTCGCCCAACAAACATCCCAATTCAAAGCACGTCCTTCCCTTCAGTGCTCCTAAAGCTCCTTAAAACCATTTTGAGTATAACGGTTGATCCCTTGCTTCAATTTGCAGCTGCCATTAGCGTGTCAAAATCCTGTGTGCCAAAGCAACGCCCTACCATAGAGCACAGTTGGCTTTGTTTCGTATTCCAGCAATGGACAGCGCATACTGCTTCGCCACACCTTAGAACGCAACACAACAAGGACAGCGCTGCCAGCCAATGTACAGGCGAGTCAGCAATGGCTTCTGTCCACAGATCGTCTGGTTGTGCACTAGCATGTGGATGTGTATGGTATTTGAACAACCTGTCTTTCATCTGGAGAGCCTCAAGCTCCTTGAGGGTTTCCCTTTGGACACAAAGCATCGTTCTAGCTGAAGTCAGCAAGGCCTACCTGCGTATCGCCATGACTTGGGAACCACGTACAAGAAGCAGTTGCCACAGTGGTCCAACTACATCGTCCAACAATGCAACAATGCAAACACCAGGAAAGAAATCTAGCTGTGGACATACATTGCTATGTATCTGCACTGGTGGGGGCAGTTATATGCAGCACAGCAAAGATCAGCTACACGATCAAGTACCAAAAAAATGCAAAATGAGGGGGCCAGCTGCCAAGAGAAACTTTGCCATTCAAGCAGACCAACTGCTCATGGTATTCGTGCGTTTGTCTCTTGCCTAATATTCACAAGACGTAGAGGTACTGATGTTGCTCTCATCCTGGAGCAGTAGGTGCATTCCCTTGGATGGTTGTCGGCAACAGCCAAAGGATGGGATACCCATGTCCAACAACTTGTCCCTGACGTCGATACCCTGACATGTGTGAGCAGCATGGAACTCTTTCGCAAACAGACGAAAATCGCTTACACAGTGCGCAAATCCCCTACCAGAAAAAGAGTAAAGAAAACTTTTCAACGCGTACATTTGGAAACACCGATGAACTAGCAACAGTGCGACAGGTGGTACCTGGATTACTGCTCAGGCCAGACACAGCCAAGAAGGAAGTCCTTGTGGGTGGGTATGGTCCCGTCCCAGAATGCAGTTACAGCGCTTGCAACTGCGCCTGTCCCGTGAGGAAACGTCGGCACGGGATTCATCCATCCATTGTCGTCACACGCGCTCGTCCCCGTGCGGGCCAATCCCTCGACGATCGACGACGGGCAGCGCAGAAAGCAGGCGCCGGCCACCAGCCGACGTGCAGGCCGGCCCCCTCAAGCGCGCCCATCACCGCACACACCTCTCTCCCAGCACGGCGTCGCCCGTGGCCACAGGGGCCCCACAGGTGTCGTCGGACACTAGCACGGGCGCGAAGGAGAGAGGTCGCGGGGGTGCGACGCACAAACAAGACGATTCCTCCTTCGAACGGAACCATCATTGAATATTCCCGCACGTGTCGTACGCCCGTGCATCCACCACAGCGGTCCGATGACCGCGGGACGTCATCGCCATTACGTTATCGCGTGCACCGTGGACTTGGCCATCCCCCTGGTGCGGCACAAGCCCAGCGGTGTCACCCCCCCCGGCAGGTCTTTCCTCTTCGCCCTGCCCATCACGCACACCCTCCTGAGGATCCCCATACAGCCCGCCATATCGCCGACACCCCCCCCACTGCGCGCCACCCCGCCCCAGGCCCCTCTTCTTCGCTTCCGCGCCGCCAACTGCGCCCATCGCTTCAGCTTCGCACCGGCGGGTGCGACCGCCCTGGACGACGCAAGGAATTCCCGCACGGCCGCCGGTGAGGGCCCCGCCTCGCGCGGTGCGCCATTCTGTCGCTTCCGGCGATGCAGACCGGAACGCCGGGGGGCGTCCGAGCGCGACCCCTCGTCGCGCCGCCCCGCCCGTGAAGCGTCGCCGATCGCCCGTCGCGATGCCCCGCCGTCCAAACTGGGCGTCCGCAACGGGCCGTCGTCGCCCGTGGCTGGCAGGCAATTTGCGCAAGTGCCAACTTTGAGGCGTCACCAAGGTCGAATCTTTCGCTGAATGATTTGATTGCCGGCCTTGGGATGGCAGGCCGCCTCGGCCCCCCTTTGTCGCATTCATTCACAGGCGCCGAAGCCGGGCGGCAGCCGCCATGGACGTGTCGGGGCTCCCTGAGCAGCCAGTGGCGCGCGCCAAGGAGATCTTCGGCCTGTGGGTGACCTCCTTCGGCGCGGGGCCGATGATGAGCGTCATCGCCATCATCTTGCAGCTGCTGATCGTGAAGCAGACCAAGTACCTGGCGTCCACCAACGAGGAGTGGGTGGAGTGGCGCGACAAGTTCGACGAGGACAGGAAGTGCGAGGGCGGGCCGGCGCGGGACGACCTGCACCCGTACAGGCGGCCGGAGGGCATGAGCGAGGACTGCGACTGGTTCCCCATAAACAAGGAGGTGCCCGGGCTGGGCCTGGACTACAGCAGCATCATGCTGCTGGGTTCCGCGGTGATCTTGCTCCTGACGGGTGCGCAAACTGGCCGAAGACTGGCTTTTTGGTGAGAAAAATAAAGCGTGTTGGGCGTCGGGCACCCACTTCATGAGCTTTTCCTGGGAAGGCCCTGCAGGCAATGGGTGCAGACCGTGCTAACTGAGAACTCCAAAACCAGTCTCCGCAGGCAGTACGCCGTGGGCTGTGGGCTCTTCCTGTTGCCAACGCTCTTGGGGCGCTGTGGGATGTGCAAGCCGGCTCTGGGCAATATTGGACATCTCGTGGCACACAAGTTGATACCAGAGTGTCGTCTGATAGGTGGCACCTGAAGCGAAAATCTCTGCTTGAACAATTGGTGAAGTTGTTTCAATGGGTGGCACCAGCTACACCACCAATGCAACTATCTATGGATGCCATTCGCTCCGCAAAAACAGAAAGTTGTCATGAATAGACCCACTTCTCGTCGGGCTTTGCAATTCGAGTGTAGGATGCAGCGTGAAGGATAGCTGCTACAGCATGAATATCATCTGGCCGGTCCTCCTTTTTTCTCTGAATTTACTGGCCACAGCCAAGTTGTTGTGCACATCTTCTCCACAGGTGTGCTGCTCGTCGTCTTTGGTCCTTTTGGCGACTTTGGCCACTACCGCCGCCAGCTCCTGATCGTATCCTTCATGATCTCCGTGCCCTCCTTTGGTGTCATGAGCTTCATAGGTGACCCCCACTTGTATTGGCTGAATAGCATACTGGCTGTACTGGGAGCAGTTTCCTTTTTCTTTGCCCTCAAGGCTCCCTTCATTGCCTACCTACCCCTGCTGATAGAGTCCCACTGGAAGCTGTTCAAGCTGAAGAAGCGCCACCTCAAGTGCCGCTCCAGGACGCCAATGCTCCATGCAGCCAACAGCAGTGAGGGCAGATGCGACGGATCAGGGGATGGCCTGGGCGATGCCAAATCACAGCCGTACAAGTGCAGCATTGAGATGGCTGAGCAAGATGGACATGACCCACCAGTGATCCTCGTCTTGCAAGATACTAGCGATGGTGTGCAGAAACCCCAGGGCGATGGCAACGCTGAAGAGGCGCTCCGGAGTTGGAACAGCGGCATGCTGGAAAAGGTGAATTCGGACACCCGCATGCTGACTCAAGGACTAGTAAAGTCTGACGATGCCGAGGTCGCGGGCCTTTCACAAGATCAACGCTTGAAATTCATGGAAGAGTACCACACCCTGCGGGAAGCCGTTGCTAGTGAGGTGACACTCAAGGAGACATCCTTTTTCTTGACAGGTAAAAATGTGGCAATTTTTGCCTCACCAGTGAGGTGCTGAAGGCATTTGCTGTGAATTAATGCAGCATGGTTCCACTTTGCCTCTACCCTCCCAGGGTCGAAACACTGCTGATATGCGTTGCAGATACAAACAGGATTTAGGAAAGCCACAATGTTGTGAGCTGCTGCTGCAGTGGACGAAATGCACAGCTCTGGTGCAAATGGACACACGATGTGTGGAAAGAACTACTTGGCCACTTACTCCATTTTGCGCACATTCTTCATGGCCTGAGAGCTGTGTTGCATCGACTGTGTCCACCAGTAGCTTGGGGTGAGAATGACCTGTGAACCATTGGTGACCCTCCTGTAGTGTAGAGGCTCAACTGACCTTGTTGTGGATACACAACTGAGATATCCCCAACTTCAAGCAGAGAAAGGCGACAACAGTCTTAGGTCATCACGGTACAGGTGCCAGGCCTTACTTTCTTCTGGGGGTACACGAAGTTCCAGCCCTGCAAAGGGTCGATTTTTTTCTGAGGCCACAGTTGTTTGTGGAGTTGATTGAGCCATGCCCTCACAAGTGTGCCATTGGCGTTGCATCACACCACACTTTCTTTCCTTTACCATCAACCAGACTTCAATCGCATGTCAGGATTTCTGTGCCAGCAACAGCCCGCCGAGTGATACAATGTGATAGTATTGCATGACGTCTATTGTGTGGCATATCCAGTGAGGATTCCAGCATCGCAACATGGAGCATAGTTTCTATACATTCGGACCATCTGACGCTTCCCTTGTTTCGTATTGCAGGCCAAGTGCTTGGTTTGTTAGTTCAATTCGGGATCATATTCTCCATCGGTGAAGACAGCAACCCCAAGGACACCTTGGGCGAGAGAGGTGCCATTGGCGCCGCAACAATCTGGCTGGCATTCTTCAGCAGCATGGGGATCTCACTCCTCAAGACAAGAGAGGGTCCCCCTTTTCCAGAAGGTATGGCAATGGATACACACAAGTGTGCACTGAGTGTAGCAGGTTTGACACACACTGCCAGAAGATCACTGGAGCTGAGAAGTCACCAGCAACTTGCTGTCTTGAATGTAGTGCTAGTGCAAGTTGTTTTCAACACATCCGTTTCAAAGATTCCCCCATTGTGACTTGTTCTTAAGGATACCTCAGTCCCGTTATTGTGAATGCCCAAGTAGGTCAACAACAGTGGGCAGGAATGCTGGCTTGCAAGCACACCCTCAACTGTCAACCTCAGTATGGGGCCAGAGTCAACTATCAATCGGTCTCCGCATTCCAGCGTGGATGCTGACAACATATGTATTGCACTCTCTTGTGTTGGAACTCTGCTGGAGGAGAGCGATGCTCACGCCCATTAAATGTTTACCGTGGTGAGGAGCAGAGTTTCGCCTGTACTTCACAAGCATATGTCAGATGCATATCCCTTGTAGCACAGTCATGGGGATTTAACTTCCTCACTTGTCACATCTATTGATACGGCCCCACAGAAGGCTGCTTCTTCACCTTCCTTTCTTTTGTACAAGAGTCGCATTCGTGGCATTACGGTGATCATGTCCATTCCTTGGGCTTTGGTGCAAAGGCAACAGGTTCTTAATCGGCTTCGTCCGGTCCGTGAAGACTTTGCACCTCATGCAGAAGCGGCTGGGCCACCTGTTGTGCCTGATGGTGGGCCGCATGTTGGTGTGGCTGGGCAGTCAGACGCTCATCACAGTCTTTGCACTCTTTCTGGAGCGCGAGTTCTCTCTTTCCACAGAGGCGTTTGGACCCCTGCTGCTCATCTACTTTGTCTGTGGCGCTATCTCTGCCATGGGCACCTCCCTCCTCTTGGCGAAGCTGCCGGGTTACACCCTGTTGTTTTTAAAGGTAGGACATTTCATCATCTGCCAAGGGGACCTGAAGACATTTTGTTTGGCGAAAGTGGGATTCATGGCAAACGTCGATCACCTGGAGCCTGTTTTTCAGGGCTTTGGCAGCAGGAATGCTCATCTCCAGATGCAGCATTGCATCTTCGGCCATGTTCTTGATGCACTTTCTGAATTGAAGCACTTGTGCATGACGACGATAGAGGGCATTGGGATATGAACGTGTTTCATGGGCTGCAGTGTGCATGCAGCAGATACAACAGCGACAGCTGAAAGGATATGTCCAGCTGCCTGGTGCCCCTTGTGCACTCATTGACTGCTTGATCGATTTGCTGCGTGAATGAGTTGCATTAATATCTGTGGCAAAGTATGGTGATAGGACCGCATCCCGTGTGTTCTCACACCTGGAACTGTGGCAGATTCAGCTGGATCAATTATGCCCCGAAGTGGCGTGTTATGGTCCATGCCTGCACCTCACTTTAGGTTAGATGACAGTGCATCTCTCTGCAATGCCAAGTTTGAACTTGTGTATGGCCTGTTGCAAAGAAAATGGTTGTGCCTCCCTGAAATGCGTTGCCATAAAGCGCACTGCCATAGATCACTTGCCATTTCTGTTGCTGCAGGTGTCTAGTGTGCTGTTGTCCGCCCTGCCCATCTACATTGTTGCAGGTGTGCAGGTCAAAGCAGAGCTGTACATCCTCATGGCAGTCGCCGCAATGATTGCAGCACCGTTTCCCTCCCTCGTGCGGGCAATGATGGCCCACATGATTCCAGAAGGGTATACGGCCACAATCATGTCCTTTGAAGGTACGAAGGAGTCAAATGCGAATCAACCCCCCCCCCTTCCCCCACACACACACCAGGGGTTTGAATCCAGCAACATTGCATCAAACTTGGAGCAGATGTCATTTTTGGACAATCAGCATTGGTTCTTGCTGGTGTGTGTACAGCACTGGCGGTTTCATCTTTGATGGTCAGGCAAAGCTGGTTTGGCTTTTTATGATGGTTGGGATTGACTATGTGCATTCCACGCTGATTGTGCGGAGATGCCAATTTCCCTGCATTACCTGCATTACGTGCATTGTTGCCAAGTTTCTGACGTGCTGCCTTTGGGAGGCAGCTGCATTGGGAGCTACATGGCTCACTGAAGTGGCTGCATGCCTGGCTACAGGGCTTCTGGAGAATGCGACTGTGTGGGTGGGACCTGTTGTAGTGTTTTTGGTTCTGGAGCTCTCTGACTCAATGCGATGGGCCGTCTTCTCCCTCATTTTCTTCATGGTTGCTGGCTTGCCATTCGTATTCTCTGTGAAGATGAGCCATGCTCTGGAGCAGCGGATGGCATTTCAGGACTGGGACAGGGCTGGTGCCCCGGTGACGCTGTAACACACCCGCTGCAGTCGCTTAGAGACAGTAGTTGAGTATCTCCGCCTGTGTGAAAGGCTGGCTACTGTTATGCTTTTGTGGAAGGTCGTTCAGCGATGTTGTCACTCTGATGTTGGCATCTCTGAGTTATATTCTTTTGGTATTGCGTTGCCTTCATGGGCGGTTGTCGAAAAGGAATCGCCACACGGTCGTGCTGAACTGACGCTGTCCATTGCCATGCCAGACGCCTGACCGCGCAGGCCATTTGACAGTATTCTGCTCAGCCTCTGGTGTGACAAATCTGCTCGAATGTGTTTAAGAGGCACCAATAGTGAACGAGCTCTTGACTTGTGCAATACGGGATTTCCAGTATGGCCAAATGGACACCCGCTGGCGGTGATTGCTGTTCGGACTTGCACAGATGCTCTCTTGACAGGATAGGACCGCGAAGGCAAACATATTGTGATGGCTAAGTGTGGGTGGAATGAATTTGTTGCAACGATTTTTCGCACTAAGTGCAAGGAGGTGTTTAGGAAGTTGATTAGGATGAGTAGCAGTTCGGAGGTGTTGCAGTTGCAAGTTTCGCCACACTGTGAAGCACTGCTGTTGCACCTCACTGGATTGACGGGTCATAGGCCAAATGGCCTATTGCAACCAGTTTTGTCCAAATGATTTTGACTATTGTGTGTGGGTGGTGCAATCGAACAAACCAACTCGTGTAATTGTAGCCTGTACATGGTGCCCTTCTCGATTAGTGTGTTTTGTTCCCTTTGACATATGTTTGCTTCTACAGGCCTGAGTTCCTTGGGATGTTGCCGAACAACCCATTAAATGCTGGTATGTAGGATGAATAACGAGTAGATTGTGGTTGCATGGAAGTCCATTTCTAGCTGTCTTGCTGAAGGCTTGGCTCACTGTGCAGTATGGATGGCCATGTGTTGCTGTTCACATTGGCTCACCTTTTTTGTGCTGGGAGACGAAATATGTGTGAGCTGATTGTGGTGGCGCAGGTGGTTGCGAGCTGCTCACCCACAGGGATGGGACAAAGTCGGATAACAGATGGTAGACACGTTGTGCAAAATGGAATAAAAGTCATGAAAACCTTCCCCTACCACAAAGATCTGTAAGATCGAAAAGCCTGTCAAAAGATCGCATCACAGTTTGGAACGCTGCAGCAGTATACAATTTCTGTTCCCCTTCACCCAAAATCTACCTGGTGCTGGTAGTGTAGACCATACTGCCGTCCATTCTCGTTGTCATTCCCTCAAGAGATCGCAGCTGGCCCATTGCTCGATAAGCTCACAATGCGCAGCGTTGATCGACTCGGCTGTGTTCTCAAAATTACCCGTGTTGTTTTTGGACCCTGTTGGCTTCGATTGGAGTGCAAGGCACCATGCTTCTGGAGCTCTTCGTGTCCTGTGTGCCAGTTTTGTGTCCTAATTGAAGATTTGTGCCCCGATCAATTTGAAGATACGTGCTCAAAAAGCCCCAAGAAATTTTTGAATATTGTGCGGCTTAAAGTATTGGAACGTGGCCAGTTTCGGTAGTGCGAAAATTCGAAAAGGGAGACCTTTTCAATGTGGATCCATGGAGGTTGAGATACGGTGCACCTCAAAACATCTGGGGCCGGCGGTGCGCACCTGTTCCTGCTCCAGCTGCAAAGTCGCTGGCAGGCCCTGAGCGGCGGCCAAGCCGTACCGCCGGAGACGCCATTGCCATGGGGGCCTTTGGCATCCCCGGTCCATCCCACCCGCTGTATCGACCCTCGACAGCCACCCTGATTGCCTGTCGGTCTTGGATCTTGCTCGAAGACGGCAACTTCGCTCCCGTCCGCACATCGGTAGAGCGAGTCTGAGAGGCGTGGGCAGTGCGGACACCTCAAACTGGTTACTGCATTCACCGCGAACTGGCTGACCGAGTGCCGGAGGCCCTCCTAGGTCCCAGGATTTGGTGGCAGGTGGAGACGCCCACCGGTGGCCGCAGATGCCTGGAAGTGCATTGTATCTGAGCATCCGAAGATCGAAGAAGGGCATCTGGGGAGGGCACGCGGCACGTGGGAGTGACGGATCACACGTGGATCGTACGTCGTGGCTGTCAGAGATGGCGTGGAAGCACGGGGGCAACAAAAGGCAATCGCGGTATTGCGCTCCAGCCAAGCAGTCGCGCAGCAAGATTCTAACGACGCCGCCTGAGGCAAGGACCGGACGGATCGGTGTTCCGGGCGCTGAGAAAGCAGGACCCCACCCAAAGGCGCCCCACGCCCGCGTCGCCCCTCCACGCGATTGCGCCCTGACGGAAAACGCGCGGAGACGATCGCAATGCCGAATGAAGGGGCGATTCAGAATGGGAGAATCGAGCAGGCATCCGAGGCGTCGGGGCCCGTGGACCTGACCGTGGGCGAGTGGCACGACCCGGAGGACGATGCCAGCCGCGTGGTGGCCAGCGAGAAGGACGGCTTCCTGTGCCACATCTCGCTGCGCCGGCGGTGGGCGATCGAGCCGTCGGCGGTGTTCCGAATCCTGACCAACCCGGACAACTCGAAAATTTTCCGCGACATCTACAGCGTGCCGTACCGCAAGGTGCTGGAGGACGACGGGCAGGGGCGGCAGGTGGTGGAGGTGGAGCAGGCGTCGGGGTTCAAGTTCCTGATCATCCCAATCCTGTTCCGCACGCGCCTGATCGTGGAGCAGGACGAGCAGGCCCTGACGATGAGCTTCAGGTTGGCCAGGCGGGGTACCATGAAGGAGTTCAGGGGAGTCTGGACGCTGGTGCCCGCCTATGAGGAGGGGCCGGGGGGCGAGCGCCGCGCCAGCGGCACCATCGCCACCATGGAGCAGGACGTGCTGCCGGCGTTCGTGCCCCCCTTCTTCGCACGCGTGCTGAGGGGGATATCCGTGAACGCGTGCCGGCGCGTGGTGCAGGACGTCGACGAGGTGGTCGAGCGGGTGAGGGCCGGGGAGGCGCTTCAGGATTTGTTGGACAGGGGGATTAAGGGTGTGCCGCGGGCGGCAGCTGGCGGGAAGACGGGCGTGGCCGACGGCGCGGGGAACGTGGCGTCGTTCCCCGTCGCCGCTGGGGACACGTGCACCTCCGAGGAGGAGGACAGCCCCAGGGTGGGGACGACGGGCTGATGTTTCGCGCCTCGTGTAGGGGTGGGAATCGATGTGCATCTGTATAGGTGTATCTGGCGAGATCGGGTGTGTTTGGCCACATCGGGTGTATCTGGCCTCGTGCAGTCGTGGTTCGCGTTCGTGCATCGGTGCATTTGCGGCCCGGGTGACGGAGGTGGAACATGGGGGTGGGGGGGGAGCGGGCTGTCCTCGTGGCTGCAGGCGCGGGGGGAAGGCGCCTGCAGATTTTGGGCACGACGGCGGGATGCGGATCGTGGCTCGAGGGATGGTCGACGGGTGTGGCTTGCTCTCATGACAGAATGGAAGCGTGGGGGGAGGCATCAGTCCTTGTGGGCGACCCTGAGGACAAGGCGGGTAGGGTGGGGAGATCGTGAACAGCGCGGGAACGAGGCGTTGTGATATTGGCCTTTGGCCGTTCATCGCCTTGCAATGCCTTTCAGGTGGCCAGTTGGCTTTTGTAATATGGATAAATACCAGCAAGAATGGGTGCGCACACACGCAGGTACCCATGTCCTTGTCGTATGTATGCAGCTCCTTGGCAAGGGACACTGAGTCATGGGACACCTGTCAGACATGCAGTGGTACTGGAGAGACTTTGTATCAATACGAATGATATCAAGCCGGTGAGATACAATTCCACTTTAAACATCTGGCCTTGGAATAGGCAACATGAAGCAGAACTTTTTGCCATTGGCAGGCTGTGGGGGATGGTTGCAAGGATGGGATGAAATTCGACATGGGTCCTGGTGGGCTTGAACGTACATACCAAGGGTTGCCGGCTCATGTCCGATGCACGGCAACGATGGGCGTAACTCAGTTCGAATGTGGATTAGAATCGTGAACGATATCTCTATCAGTGTGTAGAATCCTTGGGCTTACTTGTAAAGTGTACATTGTTCATGGTTTGCCCTCCCAGGCATGCAGGTGGTTGGTATTGTTGGACATCCTGCGTTTTGCCACCTGCACGAACGTTGGAGGCCCAGGATCTGTGTGGCTCCCCATCAGCAACTGGTGTGAACATTGTTGCTTCCTCGCAAGAAGACACAGCCAATGTCATCAGCATTGTGCAAGCAAGCTTGGTTCCACCAGGGCAACCGTGAGCACCCCATGGGCTGCTCAGGGACTTCTGGACCATCTTCCAGAGTGTTATTTTCTGCTAACTGTGGAGAGTCCCCTTGGAACGCTGCAGAATGAACGCTGGCCAATTATTTTCTTAGGTCAGTAGAGCCATGTGCCACGCACATTGTGTCATTTGTCAGGTTTCAAGTACGGGATGCTTTCATTCATACAACAGTGCAAAAAAGCTATCGACAAACACTCCTAGCTCAGGACGGATGCGCTCAATGCACAGCATGTGCTTGTTGGAAGGGAACCATTGCCAATGGTTTGGGCAGAGCTGCTGCATTTGCTTGTTCGCGTCCAGGATCTCGCTTGGCGCCCTTGGCTGCCGAACCAATGGAGTGCCGCAAGTCTATCCAGCACCACTGTGCATGTGTTCCGTATTGGGCTTGGACTGGGCAGTCGCCTGCGCTCATGGGTTCTTGTGGTTCCTTAAGGGGCGGTGGCAAACACACCGGTCTGTGGATCCTTACGGAGGTTGGGGTTTAAGTCAGTAGTTGGGAACGATACACTGCAGCTGCACACACTACCTTCATCACGTTGTGGGTGCCTGGGTATGATTTCCCAACTTCGATAATTGCAACAGTAGGAACTGCCCTAGCCGCCAAGTATTCCTCATCTGTTTGGTGTACATGGCCAGGTACACACACGCGCCCTGCCATCGAAACAGATGGAATTCCACCCTGACTTCAGCTGTTCACTCCGTTCCTTCCGCCGACGTTGATAGCACCATCCGGAAATTGGGATGGAGTTACAGCAACGTTGACGGGCCTTGATGGTAATGTGACCTTGCGTCAATCATATTCAGCATTGATGCAGGGCCTACGCATCAGCATGCCAGCAACGCTCTCGTTCGTCAACGCTGCTGGAACACCTCCCTGGCAATGTTACAACAACGGTGAGGTTGCCAACAGCGTTGCTGTGAGACCTCCCACATCCAAGTTGCGTCAACATGCAGACGATCAGTTGTTATCAATGTTTCTGGAACCCTGGGTTGCCAGCAACGTTGACACGATGCGTGTTTCTGAAAGGCGCAACAACGTTGACGGAAAGCCCCACTCTTTCTGCTCTGCTGGAAGACCCCCCGCTCTTGGTGCTGGCCCAAGGGCTCGAGTGTTCGCTTCACGGACACAGTGGCGAGGACTGCTGGGTGAGATACGAATTAAGTTGTAGCTGTTCGATTTTCGGCCTCGGCTGTTGTGCGGTGGCTTTTGCCATTTTGTTGCCCCGTTTCCAGGAGAACGGGCCTCCGGGACATCCCCCCCAACACACACGACATGCGTGCAGGGCGGGGCAGAAGGTGCGTGGGGATGCTGGGCGTGCGGGTGGGCTGGGAATGGCTGAGGGCAGCGCAGAGTGCAGCGGCACACTCGGCGTTTTTGCAATTCACAAGTTGATGGGCTTGCCCAAACGGGGAGTGGGTGGGCTGGGCCAGATGGGGAGCCGGCGAGGATCGCCCCCGCTAGGCGATCTTCAGTGCAGGCGGGCATGGACCGTGGGGTTGCCCCATGGCAAGCCACAGCCATTGGCGCGCAGTGTGGGCCTGTGCGCAACGCATTTGAATGGGCGGCTGCCGATGCCAATGGAGACGCTAGGGCTCCCTTTGTAAGTCAGTGAAGAGGTGTGCTAGAGGTGGGAAGGATCCTCGGCTGCTCCAGGCAGCCCGTGCTGCCTTCGTTCTTGGGCTGGCACAGCACGTGGGCTCGCAGGGGCCCACGGCTTGGGCGTTTTTCGGACTGGAGGTGGCGGCCGTACATCGGTGCGGTGCGCGATTTGGGGGGGGGGGGGGGGGGGGGGGGGCTGACGTCAGTTTTCATGGAGATTGTAGCTGGGTGCCCTCCTGGCGTGGATTCAAAGATTTCGAGCCCTGACGCCGCTCCGCCACCAGCTGCTCTCCGCCCCTCCCCCGTGTAGGCAATGTTTTCGCCTCGAAAGGCGGCGATCCCACAGCGCTGGTGGCGGCGGCGGCGGCGGCGGCGGCGGCGGCGGCGGCGGCGGCGGCGGCGATGTGCTCTGAGAATGTGCGCGGCATGGGTGATGGCACCGGGGTTACCGCGAGCTGAGGAAACTAGATGTGACTTGTGGTTGTGAGTGGCGGCGGCGGCCCCCCCGTCCTCAACAACAGGAGCATGCGTCCTGGACCGTGCGCGGCGCCTATCGTGGGAGTGGGCATGGTGCTGTCGCGTGCTGATCCCGCTGAGCTCTACGTTGTTTGGAATTTGAGAGGCTGGACGCGAGCACCGCCGCCCCCGCCCCCGCCCCCGCCCCCGCCCCCGCCCCCGCTGCCGCTCTTGCCGCCGCCGCCGCCGCCGCTGCCACCACCGCTGCCCCCGCTGCCACCAAATGTGTCACTGCCCCTTTTAAGTGTCCAAGCGTGCTTAAGGGTTGAAATATGTCGATACAGATCAGCACAATTGGAACCTTGCTAGCAACAAGCGCATGGCAGGCAATGAGGCACATTTGCTGACATTGCGAACCCACCAGGTCTTTGACGACTGTTTAAGGGGTAGTACCGCTGGAGTATCCATAAAAGCAAGAAGGGAAATGCTGTAATATGTGAACACATCTTGGTGTGTGCACTTGTGTGGACTGCACTCATGCCGACAGGTGCACCGGTGTCGGCGATTGCAGATGGATGTTGACTTGATGGGAACATTGTGCACTAATACTTGCACCAATGGAAGGGGGTGGCCTGGGTGCTTGTAAATCGCCCATCGCACAGGAGGCCAGGAGGAATCTATTTGGATTCCTATGGAACCTATGGTGACAATCAAGTATTCCTCTGCTGGGTTGATCCAGGGCTGCAAATCTCATAGCTTCACTGTTGAGACTGCTGCGCGGAACCTGTTTCTTGGCAAGAGAAAGCTCACCCTGCGGAATGCTTGTTGTAACCTGTGATGGGCTGTTGCTGAGTGGCAACTTGTGCATTATGGTCCATCAGCTGCAGACCAGCTCGTCTGCGAACTGCGTATGAGCAACATGCCATGCTCTCTGCCCTTGCCCCCCTTCTGTCCGCCGTGTTGACCTTCGGGATGAAGAATTCGACATATTTGTTGACAACAGGTGCATGCATTTGTGCCCTGCAGTTTTGGTATATATTGCTGTGCCTAGCAGCCCTTGAAGCATGGCTGCGGCTTCCCATCGATGACAGCACATATGGCGAGGATATTGTGCTTAAGGCCAATGACTGGCATGCGTCCCTTGTGCCTATCTGCATGGGAGCTAAGTATCGGCCAGGGGGAGTCTACCTGGTTGCCAGGAGCATCTTGGCGATCCACAGCTGGAGGCACCAGGTATCTGCATTAGCATTGTCACACATCATCATCATCGTGGGACCAAGATTGTGATGTTTGCTATTTGGCTGTGATAGACATATACAGTAATCCTGCAGTACCTGTCACTCCTATTGCTGCAAGTTGTGGCTGAGCCCCTGGAGACATGTGACAATAGTTTGCATCATGAATCTGCCTTTTATGGATTGGCCAATGCCTTGAGGGGACCTGCCTTCTGGCAGCTGGCTAATGCAGGACTTATTTGCCTCTGAGCTATGGCAGGGGCCTAATGGAGACGATCGGTGGTCTTAGAAAAGCTACCTTTGCTTGACCAGTGTGCAAAAATGCAACATGCAAGGCTGCAACTGCATCTACTGTGCTGCTCATGTTCGGTCCCACTGCTGTGTGTGTCGTTTTGTGGGATCCGGTCTGCGGGCTCACCTACTCCATTTCTGTCAGAACAGTGTGGTTGCTTGGATGTTGCTGAGAGAAGAATTGGAGGTTGAGGAGACTAATGGTCGTGTGTTGCGGCAGAGGGTCAGGTCAGCTGGACATCTGTAAGGATTGATGTTTTGCGCACACCAGCCCATGCCATTGATGCCAACGAGGGGATCGCTGGGTGCAGTCTTCGATATCAGTTCACTCTGACAATGGCTGCGTGCTTTCTTGGTGACATGCATCTTGGTTCGGCAGGAAGCAGTTTGTTAGTGCAGTGGGTTTGTTCTTCGTTGCATGATGATTCGGCTGCAAAGCAGTTTGCTAGTATTGTGGGTTTGTTAGCATAGCGGTGCATGACCTGTGACATTCATAAACACATGAATGTAGGGCTCTAGTGGGGGTGTGTTCAGGAAATGTATGTGGTTTGGGCATGTGGTATGGACATTGCATGTAATGATCAACCTTGCAACAAGTCATGTCAGAGCAGCATTGCTGCAAGCTGCCGTCCAGCAGCGTTGCATCGACCCAGTGTGGGCCAATGTTGCAGCAACACGCATCACAGCAATGTTGCAGCAACACGCATCACAGCAATGTTGCAGCAACAAGCATCACAGCAACGTTGCAGCAACACCCATCACAGCAACGTTGCAGCAACACCCATCACAGCAACGTTGCAGCAAAACATCAGCAATAGTGCTTGACAGCAACGTTGCAGCAATGGTGGCGTTGCCGCATCGTTGATGTGCACGTCTTGCGTCAACGTCGCCCAATAGGAACCCGTGTCACTGTCTCCCAGCGGCACCATTACCATCAAGGCCCATCAACGTTGCTGCAACACCATCCCAATTTCCAGATGACTATCTCTTCTTCTCAACCATCTCCACTATCTCTTGTTTCGTTGCGTCTTACAAGCTGTTCGTTGCACGCCAGAGACCACTGGGCACTCTCGGGGTTGCCACCGCTTTTCAACCTGGGCATGCTTTCCCGGGGAGGAATTCCCTAGGAATTCCAGAAGATATTATCCGCTTTGCTGTTTCTCTGGGCCAATCCTGCACCACGTCCGCTGGGGAAGTTCACACGGATCTGTTTGCCACCCAATCCTCCTCTTCTCCTGTCAGTAATTGTTACCTGACTCAGAGGCCCAGATCGACGAGCCGTCGTCACACTGCACTGTTCCGTGTGCGATCACGAGGGATTGATCGATTCGTCGTCAGCGATGTACTAAGGTACTGAGGAACCGTTGTGCCCGCTTCTCCTTTACTTCCCGCAACGTGGCCTGCACGACAGGGTCACATCGTACCGCAGCCAGCGCCGTGAACAGGAGGACGGGAAGATTCCATGCGCCTGGCTGGCCGGCCTGTCGTTCGCAATCGCGCCCCACAAGGCGGGTCGCATCAGCGGGCATCGTGGCGGGCATCGCGGCGGGTATCGCGGCGGGCACTCGGGGGACCGTCGCAAACACTATTTAAGCGGGCAATCTTACTGCTGCTGCAGTCCGATTTGTCGTGTGATTTGCGGCAAGATGGCAGGCATGAATCTCCTGCGCGACGCTAGGCGGGCCGTGGTGCTAGCGGGGCTTCTGGCCGCGTGTCTGCTGGTGGCGGTGCGCTGCGACAAGGAGGCCGAGGCCAAGAAGGAGGTTGACATGGAGGTGATGGGTTGCGGCACGTTGACCTGCGAGGGCAGCGGCATTTGGGTCGTGGCCATGCGTTGGGCGCGGCCGATCCGGGAGCCCGCGACGCGCCTCCACTTCCGCGAGCGAAATCGCGCGTGAGGCCTACGGGCATCGTGCCCACTTGCCGTGCGGCTGGCGCGGGCCAGTTGGCTGATCCTCCATGGGCCCATGGGCGCGAACGTGCACATTTGGCATCGCGCCGTTGCGCTCCATGGCGATGGGATCCCCATGGATTTGAGGGTTACGGGTTGATCCACGTGTGCGGCGGGTTGCAATCCAATTGGCCCAATTGGGCCAATTGGGTAGCGAGCCATGCGCTGTGCGATTGGAGCGCAAGCGGGGTCCGTTGTGCGGGCGCGGGAACCATCACCGCCGTGTGGTAGTGGTGAACCAGCAGAGCCGCTGCAATGCGCAGTGGTCGATTCGGCCGCCGCGCTGCCTGCTTGATGCCGGCCGACGTCGGCTGAAGGCCGACCTTCAGCACCCACGCACGTCCCCACGTGCACGCGGCCCGATGGGGGCTGCGCATCCCGCGCGTGCTGCAAACTCTTCGGTGCTGCGCCTCGTTTTGGATGCCGCGCCGGCCGGCGCCCCACAGTTGATGCATTCCTAAACTTCGCGATCGCCGCACAGGAAGGCGTGAACTGCACGAGTCCTTGCTACCTCGTGGACCGCACCTACCCGTACCCTTCATGCAAGCCGCAGTGCGACGAGCGGGTCTGCGACAGAGGTGAGGCCGAGCACCGACCGTGGTCTCGACGACGCTGCACTTCACCCCCGACAAATGTTGGGAACTGTGCACCGTACTGTGAGCAGACAACTGCAGTTTATGTCGGGCATTGTTTCCACGATCTTCAGCGGAGTCCGGCGACTTCGTTGTCGGTTTGGTCGCCCTACCGCAGCCATTGCTAGGTGTCGACACTCACCACATTGGACGATGGACGATCTTATAGGTGGTGTCGATGAGCATGATCGAAAGTCGCGAGCTGCTTGCTGCGCAGGGTACGGGGTTTGGGACACCAAGGAAGCCTGCTGCGCGAAGGGAGGGGCGTTCTCTGGCGGATGCGAGGAGCCGCCGACCGAATGCTATGTCGTGGACTCGTACGAAATGAGGACGTGCAGACGCGACGACACTCAGTGCCTGAAGGGTGGGTGGAGACTCAGTGCCTGAAGGGGGTGATGGAATTCACAAGCATTGGTGTTGCCCAGGCGGGCAGGAATTGGGCATGTTTAGTGCAGCCCTTGTTGAGCCAAAGGATTTCGTGGCACGCTTCGAGGCACAGTGCCATGAAGGAAGGCTGAATGAGCGATCAATATTCGAATAAGATTTGCAAACCCTGGATACCGAATGTGAAACGCAGAATTTGCGGTGCAGTTTACCCCTGAAGTTGGCGCCTTTTGTGTTTGGCAGCGCGTTCATTGTCAGCTACATGTGTTGATGAAATCCATTGTTAGGTGAATATCTGCGTGTGATTCTGAGTCGGTATCGGTGGCCACTGCAGGATCCAACGTGTGGGAATCTTTGGAGGTGTGCTGCGCCAGGGGAGTCGCCTTTCCCAACGGTAGGAAGTCCGTACCGTGCTGTGTTGTCAGGATATGCGCTGCAAGCTACAAATGTGAATGCCGACGTTTTATGTTAACTATTATTAGCGCCGCCACTAAGGGCATTTGCTTTAAGAGTACATAATTGAACAATACCTCGCAGGTATTGCTGCGCACGTTCTATCGCGTGTGTTCTTCAGGTAATGTGCGCCGAAAGGAAGGGTCTTGCCCAGAAAATATAGCCCGCCAGTAAGAGTTGTAGATTTCAGCTGCCGCGATAGTGCTGCAGAGACAATTTATCGGCTTTTGTATGAATCCAGCAAGCCTCGAACTATGGATCGAATTCGATAGAGTTGCGTGAAAAGTGATGTGTTGCGTTTGAGCTTGCTTGGGATGCACGAATCTCAGTTGTGATGTTGATGCGGACACGCATGATCTCTAAGCGCAATTCGCAGGCTCCCAACTGGATGCCCGATGCCATATTGTTGCACATAATTAACAAACGCGCTTGTGACAAAAGCAACCCATGACTTGCAGCCTTGCCCAATACAATTGATATCACTTAATGCATGTTGTGATCTAGACTTTGGTTTAACAGTAATTCGAGAGCTAGCACTGGTTGGTAAATGGCTGTCATGGATTTGGGCATCTCTGAGTGCTGCTTTGTCTTTGAAGTCGATTTCTGTTTGACGCAAAGTTTTTCCTACTCTGTTTATTAGGTTGCCAGGAGGTGGAGCTCTCCAAGGAGGAATGCTGGGTGGCTCAAATGGACTTCCCTTCGAAGCGCTGCGGCCCGTCTAGGTCGCAGTGTGACCGCGGTGAGGAATCAGGGCAGCATTGGACATCGGGGCACCGCTGAGATTTGGAACTTTTACACATCTTCCTAATTGACTGGGACAGTTATAGGGACAGTTATATCCAGGCTTGGTCTGTGTGTTTACTGCTCCAATTTTACGTTGACGTCTTTTACACGCACAAACGCGTAAATGGGGAAAACTATTGTTGAGGCCATAATTACGCGTATTTATGGCTCGTTGGCACGCCCAGATTACGAAATGATGTCCCAATCAACGATCAGTCCTCCGTACTTTCCAGCACTGCCAACACAGCGCTCGCCTCGCCCCCTGCAAGGGCAACGATGCCGTCGTAAAAATAGGACGTTTCTGAACATTTGAGCGCATATATCTGCAGCTCTGCGGGTTCCCCGAGTCGACATGTACAAGTTTTAGGTAGGATAAAAGGACCCAAATTTACGCATTTAAACGGGTATTTACGCTTGAAAACGTGAAAATCATTCTGACGCGTATATAGCCGTAAATAGAAATGTCTTAACGCCATAAAGCCCAAGCGTGGTTATTGCGTACTGCGACTGGTTGAAAACCGAATCAATCCAACACTCAAACGCCCCTGTGTTCGCTCTTTTGTAGACGAATTATATTGGACACATAGCTCCACCACGTTACATAACTAGCTCTTGTGGTAGCAGTTCAGTGCCCTTCGGTGGCTACATTTCGCATTTCGAAGGAAGCCATCAAATTGGATTGCGCCTTGCGTCCCCTCACGAACTTACCATTTCTTCGAGCACACTTCTGGGTCCACGACTTCCCTCCTTGCACGGCTCTCGCCATTTTGTGTCCGAATGCAAGCACACCTGTGCAGTGCTGGCTGCACCTATAGGAGATGTTGTCTCTGCCTGTACCAGTTAATCCAACATTATGTGACGCTGACTGTGCTGCGCACATGACACCGTTTCAGGCAGATATCCCGCCGTTACACAATCACGAGCGCCGTTGAAAAACCCGTTGCGAATGATGCACATTTCATTCGGTACGGGTGGTGCCTGATCAGCCATCGGACATCGCGATGCGAACATGTGGAGAGCGGCGGCGATGCGCTGGCTGTTGCGCTTTTCAGCGCCGTGCTGGCGCACTGATAGCACGCGATATTCTACACTTTGCTGTGTTGCTCGTCGACGAGTTCGCCAATTTCCTGTTCATGGCAATGCCGTGCGGAGGCCACTTCCTTGCTCTTGCCAATGGCGGTGTGCTTCTGCCTCAGGCTGGAAAGTATACGAGACAGAGGAGGAGTGCTGCGAGGAGGACGCTGCCTTCCCCGAGGGCTGCACGGAGCTGCCACCCGTGCCCTGCTGGATCGTGGACGTCTATGATCCCGTGAGGCTGTGCAGGAAGGTCACGGACGTCGCCACATGCTACAGGGGTGAGCAGCCCTTCCCCATGAGTGCTTTACTCTCAATTTTGTTTAAGTTGTGTGCTGTCAGGTGGCCTTCCTCGGGGTGGCTGTGTCCGTTCCTCCCTTTTTCTCCGCGACAGGGTTGACTTTATTATCTTTGACAGTTCTCATTCTCAGGCTGCGCGCCGGTGAACTGATCACAGCCGAAGTAATGCCTTGGCGGGCCAGTGTTGCATGGAGGTTGCTTCGGCTTCGCCCCGTGTACATCAAACGCATCAAATATGACGAGAAACAATTTTTCACACACCGATTTCAAGTGAAGGTCGACACCATGCCCGACGTGGATCATATGGAACGATAGCTGGATCCAGGAACTCATTGCGCGAGAATTTGGATCGAAGCTATGCGCAACAGGTGCAAGATTTCGAGCATGAAATTGCCATGTGTGTGGCATCGTTGTTTACCAGGTTGGGGCGTATTCGAGTCGGAGGAGATATGTTGCGCCAAGGGGGCGGGCTTCCCTGAAGGCTGCACGAAGGACGCCTGATGAAAACGTTGGGGCGACCGTGGTGAAATAAAGATCAGGCTGGCGGCATCGTGCCTCGAGAGCCACGATAGCCACGGTCGTGATGGATTTGCCAAGAGATATCCCCCTCGTTGTGACTACAGTACACTAATGGCTAGATGTATTTGCATGGATCCTTTGATGAGAACTAGCTAATTGCGAGACGGTAACATAGTATGGAAGGGCAGTGGGTGTCAAGTTTGTGCTTCGATTTGTACGTCAACTTCAATCGGGATGTTTTCGCGAATGGATTGGCTGCTTCCCACTGTTATTACATTTGCAACGAGGGGCGCGGAATGCATGAACATCGGCTGTGTAAGGGAACGAGCTGTCTAGCCCGCGTTGCTGGCTATTGCCTTCCTGTGCATGACTCATTGAGCGCGCCTTCGAGCAGGCTTGGTATTTACGTTGCATCTGCGTTTTTACGTTAACGCTTTTGCGCGCAAAAAAGTGAAGTTGCGAAAGGGGCCATTTTACAGCTTTTTTAACGTTGTTGTGGCTCCCTGGGACACCCAGATTACACGATGAAAGTCGCGTGCAATGATCAGTCTTCCGCCATTTCCAGCACACGGGACACAGTGTCCACCTCGCCCTCGGCAAGGACAACGACGTCGTCCGACAAAATGTCGTCCTCTACCCACTCCAGCGCGTCTGGCTGCCACTCCCAAGACTCCCTACTGTGCTTGATCTTCAGCGCTGGGTAGATGATCACCAGCCCGATCATCACCCGATTGGGCCTGGAGTGGTACCCGGCACCAGGTCCACGGCTTGGTTGCGGCTGGCGGCTGTCACCGAACTGCCGCCACACATGGCCAGCTCTGCGCTCACAGGCCGCGCTTTTATGGTGACAGGCTTCCAGCCCTGGCGCGCTTCTTTCCTTAGCGTTTTTTCTTGTGCACCGCATGGTGATGTGCATATTCCTCCCTGACCTCCTGGGGCACTTAGCCAGCGCGTGCTGCCACGCCAGAACCGACGACGCCAGCGAGAGGGCAGCAGCATCCCTCATTACCACCCTTCGCGACTAGCTGGCAGCAGGCTTGGTTTTCACTTTTACGTTTACGTTTTTATTTTTAGGTTTTCACTCGTAAAAATGCAAATTTGCAAAATGGCCTATTTTTGCGGCTCTTTTTACGTTTTTGCGGCTCCCTGGGACATCCAGGTTGTACGATGAAAGTTGTGCATAATTATGAGTCCTCCGCCAACTCCAGCACCCGCAACACAATGTCCACCTCGCCCCTGGCAAGGGCGATGATGGCGCTTAACGAAAACTCGTTTTCTGCCCCTTCCAGGGCGCCTAGATGCCACTCTCCTGACTCTGTAAGTCTGTATGTATTGTCCTTATGTACACCGGACAGTTTCTACGTTGTATTTACGTATTTTACGCATTTTTACGCGTACAAACGTAAAAACTATTTTTACGCATAAAAACGTAAAAACAATTTTTACGCGTAAAAACGTAAAAACTATTTTTATGCGTAAAAACGTAAATGCGATCAGCTTTTACTGCGTAAAAAACAAGCCTGGCTGGCAGTATGCACAGGTGGCTTGCAAGCCTTTCATGTCCCTGAAGTGCTTGGCGGACGAGCCATACATTCCCCTGCGTCCCATGGCTTGCACAGGGGCCAGTCGGTCACGGGCTGACCACGCAGCACAGGCACAATGTACACGGGCCTGTATTTGCGTTGTATTACGTCCCTTTACATCCCTTTACACAACATTATGCGCAAAACCGTAAAAACTATTTTTATGCGTGAAAACGTCAATACGATTTGTGTTTACGGCGTAAATATGCACACTGTCAAACCAAAGTGATGAGCACACATGTTTGTGTTTGCTGCGTTCGTGTTGTATTCTTATTGGATTCCAGACAGCTATAAAATCCAACACGAACACAAAGCCAACGCACTAAACACAAACATACGTGCTCATCACTTTGGTTTGACAGTGCGCATCCCTGGCCTCGAAGGCAGGCTTGGTATGTACACCGTAAATATAAATCGTTTTTACGTTTTCGCACAGGAAAATGAGCACTGTGATGTACAGAATGCAATGGATTGGAGTACACCTACAATGCGGTTTGCTGTACTGTCAGAAAGTAGGCAAACGCCTGTGTCTGCACGAAGGAAGTCATCTGCGAGTGAATGTCAAATAGCCATGCTTGGAATGTATGCAGATGCACAGACCTCGTTCAAGGCCGAACTTTTTTCTCTCTTTTGCCCCTCCTCCCCCTGGTCCCTTCACTTGTTTCGAAATTCGCCGGCCGTGGCGGTCATTTGAAGTGCGCCCCAACCACCTTCCCAGACCTATACCCCCTACCCTTCCTGGGGGGGACGATGACGCCGCCCTTGTCGCTGCAAGATGAAGTACGGCCATGTTTACCATGAGAAGCAACTCGGAAGTGATTCCAAGGAGAGTCATCCTGTGGCACCCGCTCCCTCCACCAACGCACTGAGCGAATCCCCTGAGACACAAACCCAGGGGCACCCACGCCGCTTGCCATCAGGCAATTCAGTGGCGTAACACTGTCGCATACCAAGTTGACCCCAGTGCACTAGTGGGACGGACGACCAAGGGGTGGCAGGATCTTTCACACGAGGGCAAAGGCCTTGCCGCCGCCCCAAGCTGCCATCCCATGCCCTTCCCGTCACCCAAGCTGGGCAGGTACATGGAACCCCACATGGTGGGCGGCCACTTTGGTGAGCTCCTTGCTTGAAGTTTGCGACAAAGAACCCGTACCGCTTCCTGGATGTTGCACATTGCATGGGGCAGCGGCGCCGATTATCCTGCAGTACACGCAAAATGCCCCTAATTCCCCGATCTTTTGGGCCGCAAGGCCACCGATTGAAACTCCGCCGCCACATCGAGCAACCAGCACAGAGCGAGCGGCTCGAGCCCCGTGACGCGAAGCCACAAGCAAAGGGCCACTGCCAGCGACACAGCGATGGTGTGCGATTCGAAGCGCGGGCTGCTTTTCACACTTTGTAGCAGCGCATAGTTGGATGCTGCATCCGTGGGCAAATTTTGCGCTATGTTGACATCGTGGACGGGCCGGGGGCTGCCGGTGAAGGCGGCGTTCTTCGGAATGACGCTGCGACCTGTGTGGTGCCTGTAGGCCAGACGCACAAAGAAGGTCGGGATTGTGGGGAAGTACGGCACACGGTATGGCGCCAGTCTGAGGAAGCAAATCAAGAAGATGGAAGTCAGTCAGCACTCGAAGTACTTTTGCCAGTTCTGCGGAAAGGTGCGCTGGAAGAGCGACCTCGAGGCTCCTTTTGTTGCTTGCGCTGGTCGCCACGGTGGCCTCTTTGGCGCTGCGCTGATTTCGCACCAAGATGTGTGGGGGCCCGAAGCGGCAGTATTCACTTACGGCTGGCAGAGACAGCCCACCAAATGGGCGAATCCCAACGATTTCGTGCCTGTCACGGCGTTCTTGGGAGGAAGGTGTTTGCCGTGTCTTTGGGGCTATTTTGGCCTTGGTGTTCTCTTGGTGGTTTCCTTGGGTACCTCTCAACACCTTCCAAGTCAGTGGGCGTACCTATGTTGTTTTCCTTTTCGTTGAGAAAATGTACTTCGCCCGGGCTCAGGTAAGACGATGGGGCTGTCTTGGCTAAATGCGTGGTGTTTCCAGTCGCTGGAGGGACAGAAGCCATTGGATGGCAACTGGCAATTCTGAACAGACTGTTGCAAGCGTGAAGACTGGAAGTGCTCCTCTGCACTGCTGAATGGTGTATTGTGTCGGACGCAGCACTGCATCAAGCGCGTGGCTGTGGGGATCTGGCACTGCAAGCCTTGCAACAAGACAATTGCTGGTGGCGCTTATGTTTTGAAGTAAGCGATGGCAGGGTTATTTCTGCATAATCTCTGAATTGACATTCTGGAGAATCTGTGCCTTCCTTTTGGTTCGTGGCTGCGAATTGGAACAAGCCAGAGTGTTTTGCACCAGGCTGTTTTTAACTGTTGTTATGGAAGGCGAGCCAATGACAGTGCTCATATTACGCGTTGGCGCGGCGAATGGCGCCCCCATTCAAGTTGCTTAGCTGGCCATTTGTGGTGTGCCTTCATACATCGTTGTTCCATGGAGGCGCTCAACTATCAGATTCAATTGCGAGGATATCACCATCGATGCAGCAGATATTCAAGAACACCTGGTCGTTTTCGGCTGCCAACGATGCGATGGACACCAGGCGGCTCATAGTTCATCTAATTATGTGTTTGTCTACCATGCAGCACGGGAACGTCGATCACTGTGAGGAGCACCATCCGTCGTCTGCGAGATTTGCAAACTGACTGAGGTTCCACCACCTTTTGGCACCAGACCTGCAGAAGATGGGAATTGTTTTAGAATGTGTTGCTAGCTGTGTTGGCGAGCTGTGGTGGCATTGCACAGCACAGAGTAGCTGCCTTGTGAATCCAAGCTGTCTACGCAGAGTGACAATGGCTGTGCTTAGACTGTTAGAAAGTATGGCTTGCACTGTATGGCAGTGAACAAATGCCATAGCCTCGCACTTTAATGTGAAGTGTTTGCCTGCATGGTTCAGCAGTTGGTGCAGCAGTTGCCACTGCACACCGATTGTGTCTCCAAGTAAAAGCGCCGCCTCAACATAATTTACAGCAGTGAAGTTCTCCTAGAATTCCGCTGGTTCCCTGCTAGTGAGCATCCATGTTGAGGAGCTCTGTGCAAAAGTCAGATGGGCATCTGCACTGGTGTTGCTGTGTCCTTGCCAAGCAGCATTGTCTGTTGCCTGCCACAATAAACGCAGGGGTAGACCGCCCTCACCTTGCTCATGTACTGGTTGCAACCTCTGAATCTGTTGACAGTCCAGCTGAAGCTCAGCATGCCCCAATGTCGCCATTGCTGTAGCTGCACGCCAAGCAGCACAAGGACCAGTGGTCATGCACCAGGAGGTTTGCCCAGGTGAGCACTGGTTCTTGCAATCAATTGTAGATTGATACCAAGGAAGTACAAGACAAATGATGACCAGTTGCACATGATTTTGGCGTTTGCATGTCCCTGCTCCGGTGTGGCTAGGGAACCACGCGATGTTTGTCATTGTTTGAAATAGATGGGACTCTGGTGTTGTCATGAAATGCATCGACGTGCAATGCTTCTGCGCCGCTGGGCTTGCGTCCTGTGCAGTATGCAGCGTCGGCAGATCGCGGTTTCCTGCAGCCACACAAGAACGATGGAGAACCGAACGCCTCGTTGGTGGACAACCGAGTAGTTTATCCTTTAGCCGTAGGTCACGTGTGCAACATGTATGTTTTGTTGTAGCTGAATGTAAGGGAATGATCCCTTATTCCGTTTCTTGCTCGTTCGTCCCCGTCCAGAGCAGTCGCAATCTGTTGCTTTGTTTCTCTGCAGTGGTAAGGCATGGACTGGATGTCAAAACAAATTTCAAGTTTGTGGCTGGCCCACCCATGTCCTCTGCGAATGTGCCAAAGGTGCTTCAGAATCCAAGTCGGCGGCTGGGCTTGGGAGGGCAGTGGCGGAGAAATTGGAACGCAGCCCTTAACTGCGCGTTACAGGCGAGCGTGAAAGCAACACGCCAAACACAGGGCTCATGCCCTCAGCGTTGCCCTGCCAATTCCATGTAGATGCATCCACCTCGGAACCTCGGCAAGAGCGTCTTGGGTGGGTGCCGCTCTCCATAAAGCGCAGGCTCACCCGATTCTCAACGGTCCAGAAGAACCTCATACCAAGGCTCCCGGCAGCCCGAACGTTTTCAGCGAACGGAACCCAGGCGATGCGGGCCCTCCGATGGCGCCCCCCAGTACTCTTGGTGCAAGAGTCCGATGCCTTCCGCACGTCGATTAGCATGAATGAGCCTTTGATTGATTCATTAGAAGCAGCCAGCCCGGTGGGTGTGCCGACGCTCCAAAGGCCTGTGCGAGCCCCAGACGCGGCCATCTGCACCCCCCCCGTCGCCACGGGCTGTTGCCGCGCCCCCAAACACGCCTGAGCCGCGGCGGGTGGCGGTGCCCGGCCCTCAAAGGGGATGGAATCTACCAGGCGACGCCGCGATGGGGCCGATTTGCTGGCACTCTTCCTTGCCTGCCTGATGCCCCTCTGCTTCGCGGCCCCGGAGATGCCCTTCGAGCGCGTCCCGGCCATGGGGGATCCCGACGCCTTGATAGGAGTGCCTTCTCCTCCCGAGTTGCCTTGCGCGTATGAGGTGCGATTGCCTGCTCCCGTGCCTCAACTGGCAGGTGGCACTGTGCAAGCGATGTAGCGGCAACTGTCGGGTAGATCGCCGACACCCCTCGGGCATCGTCTTGTTGATGGGGCTGGCGAATAGCCCGGCGACCGTCCACCGGCGTGCGCCGCTCGCGGCTGCCCACTCGGATTTGATGACATTCCCATCCCTGCGGTGTGGTCGCGCGCAGGACGGATCCCACTTTGAATAGCGTGGGCTGAAGTTTCGGGAGCCTTGTGGGCCGCGCGTTTGCTTTCGCAGCTCTGATTCTGCATTGTGTCGCTTCCCCTACCTTGGAGAGGCTTTGGGATGTTTATCGGCCGTGCCCGTGCGACCCTGACACCGTGCTGCGGCTTTTGCTCCCCAGGCTGAGTACACGTTTACGCTGCCATACACTGCAAGCCTCCAATCCACCCCCGTCTCGTGAGTTTGCAACTCCTGAGTGACCTTTGTTCAGATTCTTGTGTCAATACGTGTCACCTGGGCATGTGGACAAGGATGACGTGTCGATTGTACCATTCCGCTTAGTTGGGCGCACAGCTTTGGTCAGCAAGAGGGCCGCACCTTGCCACAGCGCCAAACGTGTTGGAGATGCTTCCGTGTTGGATAAAATTGCCATGTCTGATGGTAAAAGCAGACTGGCAGCAGCAGTGTCAGGGCGCTCCTCCACAAAACATCTCCTGCCAGGTGGACTGCCCCCTTTGGGGGCTTGCCGGTCAGGAAACCGCGAATCGGAAGCTATCCGTGCCTCAGAGCCTTTTTCTTGACAATTTGTTTCACTGTCAAAATATACAGGCTCAGTTTGACAGCATCCAGCTTAACAAGTTTGTGTGCTGCGGCGTTGCTCTTGCTGACAGTGTGCAAATGTCTGCCTGCTTTTGGTGAGATCTTCGCGTGCACTTGTTGCTTATGCAGTGGGTTCTCTTGCCAATTTTTTCGGTCCCCCAAACCCCTCATCTGGCAGTACTTGCAGTGTTGGGCCATCAGCTCTATGCTTGAGTTTATGCGATCAGATGGCTGAATCAGGGTAGGTCATGGAGCTAGGTGCTGCAACGGAGCATTGTTGTGTAATGACGAAATAGCCAAACGAACCACTCATCATATGTGCTTTTTTGCCTGCTGCAAGATACCCAGTGCACATGTGGTATGAGTGCACAACGGGTTCTCTGAGGATGGACACCTACAATGGCACTGACAAGAGCATCTCAGTGAAGGTGGGGGGTCGTTGGGAGTAATCTCTTTGTTGAGTTGCTTGGCACTTGGGAGCGCAACTGGCGCCACATTGATGTCGATCCTTTCAAAAGCAAGATTGGCACATGCAGGTACTCACCATCGTGGGATCAATCGCAACAGAATATTCTTAACTTGTGTGCTGCACTTGCCTAAGTTCCCATCCACAACCATCTTATTCTCCTTGGCAATACGTCCCTGGCCATCCCTAGTGCCTGGGGAACTGAACACAATCAATTCTTTGGAGTGCCTTTGCCACAAGCACGTGGCCATTGATGCCATTAGCCTTCATGACGCCGATGAAGTCAACATTCACCTTTGTTTGGTACCCTGCTATTTCAAGTCATTTTGCACAGCATGCACACAGACAACGTCAGAAACCCGATCAAGTGCCCACCCGAACACAAAAGACTGCAACCATTGTTCATTTGTTTCACTCAACGTGAGCAGTTGCAAGTTTGGTGAATGGACAATGATACGGTCTACACGGAAGGAAGAATGATTTGCCACGTATGATTGGGGAAGAGATGCTTTGTCCATGCCTGTGGTGGAATATTCCTTTTGCTGTATTTGCCCATCTGCAGAACACTGGCCCTTGGTCCACATGGTGCTGACAAGGCAATTGCAAACCATGCTGTATGTTTCAAATGTTGCATGTTGAAGCATGTAGCTTGTCTTCCTGCCATAAGCAAGATTTGAACTGAAAAATTTGCAATCCATTCTCTCCTGTCCATCCAGGGTGTGGTGCAGTATGAGGTGGTGCCAAGAATAGACGAGCTTGTTTGCCTGGAATGGGATGCAGACAGCGGAGAGGGAGACGATCTGCTTGGAAACAATGTAAGGACTCCTGCAATGTTGTCTGCAGGACATTAAGTAGTGTAGAAGCCAGTGCCAGTACTTTAAGAGAGTGCATGGCCTATATGTTGGGCCTGCTGAACTGTCTTAGATAGAAGCAGAACAGCAAGAGCATCTACCTGTCAGTGGCATGCCAGGCGGTGAATGTGCTGGGTGTTCTGCTGGAATGCCCAGCCGACCAACATACCCTGTAGTGGTGTTCCTGCACCATTTGAGCAGTACAATAGCAAGATCGATTTGCAACTGTTTGCTCATCATTTTGTCAAACAGAGCATGTTCATGTACTGCCTTGTCTGGGTTGTCGACCTTCTATTGCCTCAAACCCCTGACTACTTCCTGGAACTGTTCCCAGTGACATCAAGAAAATGGCATTGGGTCTCTGGAGGATCGCAGGAGTCCTTGCAGAATCGTGTGAATTCTCTGGTGATGATTGGCCTTTATTCCTCTGCAGGCCCTCCCTGACCCATCAAACTGGTCGTATGCCGGCGATGCTTTCGTCGATGGCAAGACTGCCACACAGTGGGTGTATCGGGAAAGTCTCATGGAAAAGGATGAGACCTACAGGTTCTACTTCGATGTTGCTACGGGAGAGCCCATTCGGCTGGCAATGATGGGCACTGACTACTTTAGTGGGGCTCACTACGATGAGTACATCGTGAAATTCATGTCATTCAAGACAGGCATCTCGGATCCTTCTGTATTTGCAGTTCCAGAGTTGTGCGATTATGGCAAGGCTGTGCATGTTGAAGGCGAAACTGCTGTGTACATGAACATGCGTGCATTGATTCCAAGGGTACATGCAGGTAGGTATTTGGTTTCCAACAATACTCCAACAATAGTTTGTGTACAGCACAGGCGTATCCAGCAGATGTGCTGGCGGTGCCCACACATTTTTCATGCCCTGGGAACCTCTGGTTCCGCTGGAGGAAATGTGGTGCGCTGTTGTGTTGCTTCCTTGGCTGCCACTTTGAAGCATCGTTCGTTTCTCTCTTTTCTCTCCAGTTCGCTCCTTTGCATTGATTGCATCCAATAAATGACAAAGTCGTGGCCTTCAGCAATGTCAGGTTTTCCCAACTGTGCCACTTGCTTTTGCCCCTGTGTCGCAGCTGGACAGTGTGCGGCACAGCCGGTTGCCTGTTTCCTTGCCTTTGCAGCTTGGTTGAGCTCAATACTCAACTGAGTGGCAAGCGCAAACATTTTGATACAGTATTGCGTCTTGCATGGCCTTTGCATGGGCGCTGTCTTTGAACATTTTGCACCTGCAGTCCTGCACAACATGCCAGCACATTCGCAAGCATTGTGCTTTGTGCAAAGCAGCAACCATTGTCAGTTGGTGTAAGTTGATGTGTATGGCACACGAATTTTCCTTGCTTTTTTCCTGGGCTTGGTATGCATTCTGTGGACCTAGTTGCCCTTGTGTGTGTTTTCTCACTATCAATGTGGTTGAGAGGCACTTCAGTGCACATCTGCAGTTTGAAGCAGGTGCTCTATGTTATCCTATTCAAATCTTGGAAATTTGAAACGAGATAGTTGTTGAGGATGCGACATTGATGGTCTGCTCAGGGGACGCTGAGTATGACAGTTTTTCTGGCAAGTACGGCCGCTTCCACTCCAGCCCCTCAGAATATCGCATGCGACTCGACCATTATAGGAGCAATAAGCAATTCATTGATGAATGGAACAACCGGACGGATGTGTCTCACAAGGTGGAAGTCAATCGGTTTGCTGATTGGACTGATGCTGAGTTTCGGGCGACCAAAATGGGTGCGTGACACAGTTCAATGTATGGGGAAGAAGCAGCACCTGTGTCCACCTTGACTTGATGTGTTGTTTCCTGGCCTCTCTCTGTATTTAAGTCTGAGTCGATGTAGCGTGCTCTGCATGCAGGGACCCAGTGGAAGGGCACTGCAATCTTGCTTCCAAGCATTGTGATCCAAGCATTTTGATTGTATTTGTGTCTCAAGTGGGCGTTGTATTTCCCTTGATTCGAAAGGACAATATGAACCAACTTGGGGCAAGTGCTACTCATGCTGAATTGGCTGCATTCTGTCGATATGTGGCCTACTGGTCGTCCCGAGTGCAAGGGTCCTGCTTGATCTTGTGCACAAAAGAGCAGTGAGGAGAATTATGAGCACGTCACTTGGGGCTAGGAATAGCAAGTGTGAGGCTGGGATAATTGAAATGGGAGGCTGTTGTGCTGACCTGTCACTGTCAAGCTGTGGCCATGTCAGTCAAGGATGGCTGAAAAACAGTTTTGTGTGTGGATGCTTCACAGGTCTCCTGACTGCTGGTAAAGGTGCCTATGGGGATTTGTCTCCTTTGAAGGAATCGAGGATGTTGGCACCGGTGTACGAGATGGGAGGCGCCATTAGCGATCTCCCTGAGGAGGTTGACTGGCAGCACACAGGTGCCGACACAGCTGTGAAGGACCAAGCAACATGTGGCAGCTGTTGGGTGAGGACAGACACACCACATGGACTAACGTGTGCGTGTTGAAACATGTAGCATCCAGGATATACATTTGCCCTATTGCAAGATTCTACTTCCTCCGCGCGGAAATAAAGGAAAAAATTTGGACTGACGGCATTCCTATCATGTGGTTTTTATTTTTCGACGAAAATTGGACCAGAGTATCTACTACGTGTTGAGGCAATGCTGTCAAAAATTGACGCAAAATAAGATTGAGGCATATGGTAGTACTTTGAAACTGAGCGACTCAGCACCGGAGTTTGACCATTCGCAGTCTGTGGCCCACCCCACCAAAATCTGGCGCCCCCCAGCCAGGAAGGACTGCCGCGTGGGTGATCCCCCGTCCAATGGTCTTCACATTATCTGAAGGGTGGAGTTGCCCGGCACTCAGGCTCTAGCCGAAAAATCGACAACCGTCGCAATGCACGATCGACAGAGTTGGCACCTAGGTGGGCATCTGCCATCGATGTATGCTCAAAATCCCAGCCACCTTCCCGGCGGCGCACCAATATGCCTGGGATCCCCCATTGCCAAGAAGTATCCTGGTGGCTCAAGACTAGCCGCAGGGTATTTGCGTGCAACATAAGCTTTGTGTTCAGCACAGGTCTCCAATTAAGTGCTTGCCTGATGCAAGCAACTGCTCTTTCCAAACAGGCATCAACCCTGCCAAACATGACAATAGATGGTTTGGATGCTCTATCGGATATCCCACGTGTCGCTGTGGTGGCGTTCCTGCATCTTGCAATGGCACAGCTGAACCTTCGTTGCAGTGGCGCCTTGAAAGTGGCGTGAACGGGGTGCAAAGTGTTGCTTGCAGCACGTACCCAAGACAGCCAATTTCAATGATCTTCTATATGCAGCGAGGGCACGATCACATTCTCCCAAACTTTGCGTGGTGGTCTTAGCACCCATGGTGGCCCTTTTCTAAAAAACCTGTGATTGGGAAGTTCGCCGATTTCTTGGTCTCCGATCTGGAGCTGCTGTCCCCATTCGGCCATCAAAACCACGGTGGCGATCAAGGATCGAGCGGTAAAGGACCTGGTTTCGTGCTCTTCCCCTTTCGGCAGGAGCGGTTTCGACCTGCCCTTAAGACGGCAGCAATAAATGTCCACCATGGGCTGCACACTATCAGTCGCAAGGTGACCTGGTCAAGGACCTGTATTGGGGGGTGTTCGGCCAGACCTTGAGAAGCTTCGACTTTGTGGCCTGAATCACAAGGGTTCACAGTACTGCCATGTGGCTGGTACTTATCCGTTGTCCACAAAATGTTGGCAGTACATAGTAATTGTGTAGGTAGTGCCTTGGTCCAATTTTGAAGGAAAACCAACAAGTTCATGGTACAAATGTAGCCTCTCAAACGAAAATTGTTTCATTTATTTAGGGACGGAGGAAGTACATCAGCCACAATGTATGTGTAGTGCTCTTTAGCCATATTTGCTAGTGCAACTAAAAATTGTGTAAATCACTATCCCATGCAAATGCTATTTGCAACCATTCCCAAGGTTCCTTAACTGGTGAGTTGACATTCATGTGATGCCAGCAGCAAGCCTTGAGACTGCAGATATCTACCGATCCAGCCCTACTGAGAGCAAATCAACATGAGGACTCTCTGGCCTGGTTCATCCAGGGCACTATTTCATGTCACCTATGCTGCACTTGTCAACCTGTGATAGTAGCAGTTTTGGCTGTTGCCTGCAAAAATGCTGTTGTCCTTGTGGAATGGAGTGCCTGTTATAATGCACTCTTCTGGTGATAAGTTCATTTCGCAGGCCCATGCAGTGAAATTCAGTGCATTTGTACTTGTGTTTGCGTTTGTGTTGGCAGTTGCGCTTGCATTTGCACAGGTCATGCTGAGCATGCTTAAGCAGTGCAAGGAAAACCATTTGCCACACCTCTGTACAATGATTAAAATGGCAGCGAACAGTGTGCAATCTTTGCATTGTTCCATTTCTTGTGTTGTACAGTATGGTGCGTGATTTATAGCATTCTGATATGATTTGCACATGGAATAGAATGAGGTTAAACAGCTAATCTTTGGCAGCGATGTATGCACGCTGTCAGCAAGGATGAATGCTGTAGCATTGTCACCCCTTTGCTATTTCTGCCAGGCGTTTGCAGCCTCCAGCGCTATGTCAGCGGCCTACTACTTGAAGACCGGCACCCAATACAGTTTCTCGGAACAGCAGCTTGTGGATTGCGCGTGGGATGAAGGCAACTATGCGTGCGATGGTGGCTGGGCTGAGACTGCCATCGACTATGTGGCGAATGCTGGCGGCATCTTACTGGAGGATGAGTACCAATACAAGGGCCAGGACGGCTTCTGCAAGTGGGCATCTCAGTGTTGCTTTTGGCTTCTTTTGCTGTTCCCTAAGGACCATATGGCAGCACCCTGAATGCATGATTCTGGCAGCTTCCTGGCATATTTCTGTCGTTTTTGTGTTAGGATGTTTCATGCCAAGTTATGATTGATTAATTGACAGAATTGTGTTGTACGGCATTAGGCAATAGCACAGTGAGAAGCATGCCAAAAATGCGCACATTACTTTTGACGATTGCCAGCAGCAAACACAGAACACAGGTGGTAGTGCCCCTGGGGTATTCTAGGGGTGCACAATGGCCAACGCACTGAAACTGTGTGCAGAAGTGTCAGTGCTGAACCCATGCAATTGGCCTATTGGGCTTCAATTGCCCAGCGTACTGCATGTCCTTTTTCTATCTTCACCATTGCGGAATCATGGAAGGATGGCCCACAGTGGGCCCTTGATGGACGGGACATTCCAGAGCCTGGAGTAGGTCTGGAATGTTCCAATCTGGAATATCCCAGGATTGTTGCGTGACCTGCAGTTCTGTGTCAGTGCCTGCTTGTGGTGAATCTGTCTCTGGTTCGTTGTTGAACTATGAAAGCAAAGCACGGCTGATGGAGATTCACCAGCGAACTGGTGGAACAAGCAACCGCCATGACAGTAAACACGAAGACAGAAAATACCGAAAGCTTTTGGGAACTTCTGCTGTTGTAGTGTCAAGTTCCTGTTGAAGGACTCCCTTGAAATATCAGCATCATGTTTCTGGGGGATGTAATTTGGGGGCATGAGGACCCAGTCTAACAAATCCTTGGAATGTGTTTGGCTGTTGCCAGAAAACCTTGGCTTTTTGTGGAACGATTCAAGAACACAGAAAATATTGGGCAAAGAGGGATCTGATTGACTATCCTGTCTTTCGTTTTGCTTGCCTCAACGACTGACCGATGTAACTGATAGAAACATCGAACAGTCACGTGGTTGAGGAACGAATGATGCCAACTAGTCGGTGCTGTTGACGTGCTATTCCATGTGTTTGCAGTGCTGACAAGTCAGAGGTGGCAGCACGCTTCAGCGGCTATACTGCAGTTCCCTATCGCAACATATCAGCCACGAAGGACGCCTTGTACAGGAAGGGGCCCATGGCAGTGGCCATCGATGCCAACCACCCAGGTTTCCGGTTCTACAGCTCTGGCATCTTCACGAACCCTGAGTGCATGTTCGAGGAAGAAGATCTGGACCATGCTGTGACGCTGGTGGGCTATGGCAAGGATCCCGAGGGCAAGGAGTACTGGAAAATACGCAACTCGTGGTCCAGGTATGGCAATCGTGTTTCAGATTTCTTTGTGGGGGAAGAGCATCAACAGTCCTTCAACAGGGGGATTGGGCTCATGTCCATTGTCATTTCGCATGTGCCAGGGCAGTGTGTGTGCATTTGCGTGTACTGTGTTTGGCCATTTTATTGTTCTGTCATTCATCCCACAATGCGAAGCAATGTTCTCACACCGAATTAGGTGGTGAGGTAAGCACAATCAGGCGAAAAAGGCTTTCAACCGCGATACTCCCTGGGAAGGCATTTGCTACCACTCTTTCAAAGCCTGTGTGGAAAATGGGGAAGAAAGAAACCGGAAAAATGGGAAACACTGAAATTTCCAACGCCAAATCGAATGGGCTATTTCTCTGCAGGTACTGGGGCGATGATGGCTATGTGAAGATCTCCATGGAGTACGACTGCGGTGTGACGACACGCCCCGTCTCAGCCGTGGTAGAGGATTACGAGCCTGGCAGTCAAGCTACGGTCTGAGGGGCCCCAGGATGATTGAGCTGGGTGCGGGTGAGCCGTCGTCAATGCTAGGGTGGGTACCTGGGTAAATGAGCAATAGTTCAGAAGGCAGATACACCTGGGACAGGGGGAGTTAGGGAGCCCACAGGAGGTGAAGTTGCTGTGGGAGCCAGCTGGCAAGTTGGAATATGGCCATTCCTGAATTGCCAGAGGGTACTGCAGGCGCTACCACTTCTGGATGGATGGCATCACAGATGCTGTGGTCGCCTTCCCCGGTTCGGCGAGTGCTCTGACCTGCCTGTTGGTGGCCAGGATCCATGGCACTGTATGCTGTCTGAAGCCTAGCCGACTTTGATAGCGCTGCGTTGTACCCCATGGGGCTGCAGGCTTGTGGATTTGTGGCGGGCCCTGGATGAGCTGTTTGAATCGAGTGGAGTGTTCCAAAACACGAAGCTTCGAACACCGAGGCCTTGAGCAAGCAATGAGGCAGAAGGTAGTGGAACATTCGAAGATGTGCCACAGTCGGCCCATCTCTTTCGCAGCTCCCAGTGATCGTGGAGTTGTTGCACAACCATCAACGAGTTGAAACTCGGGACGCCCAGTTCGAACGCATGGAGTGAAGTCTTCTCCCACGCCATGCCAGTTGCACCGTCACAGGCACAGCGTCCGGTCCCTCTGCACAGAAGCACCATGATTACATCCTGGGGGATGTTAGTCCAAATGGCGCACCGCAGTCACCGAACCGCTGTCCAATGTTCACGCCAACAGCGTTGGCAAACGACACCCGCCTGAAGCAGCACACGTATGGCCGACTCGCTGAAACGCGCAGCCACTCGGGCAGCTGGGCATAGAGTCGGCGTGTGCAGCCTGGGGGCCGTCCTGAACATCCGACAATCAACAATCGACGACCCGGTGGGAATGTAACCCCGCCGTGGACGGCATCCTTTCGTCCAAATGTGCCACAGACTCAGCACATTGGCAAACGCACGTCACAGTGCGTATAAGCGGTACTTGCGCGGCCCAAATATTCGCTACCCGCTGGCATTCGATTTCGTGAGCATGCTGTACTTGGCCTTGGCTTCCACGTAGTTTGTGAAGTCGTCCCTCCTGCGGTTGTGGCTCTTCCCCCTCATCCCGAGGCTCTCCATGAACTCCAGCTGCAAGAGAACTCGCCACAGCGCGTTAGGCCCTTTTGACTCAGCCGAGTCGCCCTCAATTGGCAGCCCGAATAAACAGCACAGCGGCAGCCCGGGACAGTTGGAAGTTTGGCAGTTCCGAATTTCACGAGGCTTTTGAGCACTCCAAAAGTCTCTCGGGTAATGTTTTTGCTTGATTCGCAATTCTAGTGAACACAAATTGGAAACAAACAGAACTGGGTCAGCCCCTCCGCCATTGGCAAGGGATGCAAGTTTTTGATGGAACTGGTGCGGCATGGTTGACTATGCCGAAGTGCGGAGTAATCCACACGGTGTGTGGATTGGTGTGTCAGACTAATCGAAAGACTGGCATAAATAGTCTGAATATCAAGGCTTAATCGCGGCTGACAGAACAGAATATGCGAAGTGGTGAAGAATATCGTATTTTCGGGGGCCAATTTCACCAGCGGGTACCCGCTCATTGCCCTTCGATCAGAAAATCCACACATGGGCGTGGCGACAGGAGCACTCAATTGAGGTCCCATTTCTCAAACTCTGGCATGCCTTTCGCACGAACGGGAAGTCCACCCGCTGGCACCAGACGTTGACGAAAGAGTTGCGACCAGGCGAGGTGGAAACAGTTCCGGCACAGAGCATTCCCAATATTTGAATTTGGAAAATCGAATGCCAATACAAAATTCTGATTTCAAACGATGCAGCTTAAATCCCGAACTCCTGAAACTCAGCCATGTGGCGCGATTCCAATGCGGGCCGAAGCGCGGCGAAGGGAGCACTCTCTGCTAATGGTCACCGTGTACCTCAGCCGAGTCCCAGATGTACTGCTCCTTGAAGGTGCTCACTGTCTTGGGACCGTCCCTCAAGATGTACCCCGGATTGGACATCCAGGTGTTCTTGGAAATCCTGATGCCCATCATGAGCTCGGGGTCGTCCTTGATGGTTTGATAGAAGTCGGGCATGCAGGCAAGGGTCTTGAGCGCTTCCGCTGGGGTTTCCTCGTGGGGCGGTGGCGCTTTCAGGCGTCCGGCCTCTGCTTCGCGGCGAAAATACTCCCGCTGCACGCTGAGCAGCACCGAGCCATTATTTGGGGTTTTCAGGATTCTTGCGAAGTTGCTGACGACGCGAAGCTTCTGTGAACGCTTTAAAGAGAGTGGTGACAAACACGGCATGCGGCTTGCCCCTTCCCTCCCCCCCCCCGCCCCCCCGCTTTGGTCCTTGCCATATTACTCAAAAGAGGGGTGCGCAATTTGGCGCAATCTAAATGAGGTCTTGAGCTGGGCAGGAGGGGAACAGCTAGCTGCTGGCAGCGGAGAGAGTATATTTAGTGATATTTGGAGGGGCATGCACAGAGCTGGATCCGCCTCAGACTGTGGGCCTCAGTAGAACTTTGCGGGCATATTATTCAGATGCGAGTCCTTTGAAACGATCAGCGAAAGCGGAAAAAACGAGCCTAGGAAAGCACAAGCTCATGAAAATCTGAAGTCCAGCCTCATTTCCCCCTTACTCTTACATGGTGTTCCCATGCCGTTCGTAGCGATCACTTAAAACGCTGGTGCGTACCAGCATCACTTGGTATCTGGCCATTGACCATTCTACAGCCTGAGAAGCCCACCGCTGTTCCCGGCGTATAGCCTCCTCCATCATCGCCGACTTCTGGGAGTCCATGTACTCCACGCGCTCCACCGCCGCCATGGCGCCCCTCGCGACCCTGACTCAACCGGCGGCCCAGAAACGTGCGCCTCGGCTTCGCCCGCGCAGCTGCGCCAGCGCAAAATAATATCACCGGCGCGAATTCGACTCAAAAATCAAAGCGAAAGTCTGGCTTCTGCTGCGGTGGGCAGCTGGTTCAGGTGATGTTCTGCCCGCCGGGTCACCTCAGAGGACGCCGTCAGTCAAGAAGTCCCAGTCGCCGCCAGACCGCGGCCCCTTCGTCTCCAGACCCCCCGAGCTGCTTATCTCCTGCCGCCCGCTCGACTCTTTTGCGCGCCGCCCCCTCTGCGGGTTTTTGCCGCCAGATCCCGAGCGAGGCCCTGCATGGGTGCTGGGGTTGCGCCACCAGCTTCTGAGGCGATCATGAGGTGGCGCTGCGTGCTGGAGGAAAAGAAATTTGGGCCTGTGTTCTTTCTGGTGGCCCTGATCTGGCTGTCGGTTCCCGGCGCGAATGGAGGTGAGCTTCAGGACCGCAGAAGAGATTTTGGAATGATTGGGCAAGCCTTGGGGTATTCTGTGAACCCTCTTGCAGGGACTGTGCTCGGTGCATATAGATGCGTAAATATTGGTATGAGTGATTAGTGGCTCGATGGATCCATAGACAAAATGAGGGGTCATGCGAGCAAACAATATGTTGAGACCAAGGTCCGCAATTCATTCAATGAATTAAGCATGGGGATATCAGCAAGGATGTCATGATAGATGCTTATGCATCGGACGGTGCAATCATTCTGCTTGGTTTTGAACACCTTCGAAGCAAGGGGGCAACTGTACATCCACCTCCTCAAAGGTACGCATGATCAGTAGGATATTTTTAATGACATCAACTCTTGTCACACATGACATAGAATGTCCTTGTGCATACGAGACGCGTGCATTTCCACGGGACACATTTCAATAGAGCTCATGTGTGTATTTATTCGTTGCACTTGCCCCTGGGGAAGTCATGAATTGAGCCTAGGAGGATTGTTCATTGCATGTAGCCCCATCATGTAACTTGAGTGTCCCTACGCTCTGTGAAAATACCAGTACGTAACTATAGCCATAAAAATGTACGTTTCTGTGTGTTTTACGTATTTACAAATAAAAGCGTGAACTTAGAAACCCAAACATAAACATAAACAACAGGCCTAGTTTTCACTAGATAATTTGCTTATTTAAAACACCTATGCGCCCCTCCACTACATAGAGATCACATGGTTGCGTATCCCTCAATGCAATGTCGGACTCGAATTCTGTGTCCTTCTTCACAGAATGGCTCATTGTATTAGTGTCCTAACAAATGTCGGATTGCATAAAGTCATGCGATTGTTCCTCAAAGAACAATTAAAGTTCACCCATTGAATGTAACGTTATGGGAGAAACAAAATAGTCATGAAATGATAAGGCAAACCCTATTTCATTTAACTTCCCTTTGGTTTAATATAATTGTGACATTCTCAGACACCAAAATCAACAACTTCATGCATATTTGTACATAGACAAATATGCACCCACTCTTATTCTAGCCGCAGACTTTCTCATTATTTTCTCATGGTGAAACCCATCTGTTCTTTCTGCTACAGAGGACGCATGCTCTCTTCCCAAGCAGGAGGGCAGCTGCAGTGGGAGGTGGCCTCGTTGGTACTTTAACCCAGACACAGGAGGTTGCGAGTGGTTTGAGTACAGCGGCTGCGATGGGAACGACAACAATTTTCTGACTCGAAGGGCTTGCAAAGTAGCCTGCATGCCGGAAACCTTCCCAATAGGTGAGTGAGCACTACGATCTGCCCACATGTCGTTTGCAGTTCAACAATTCAACAACGCAAGCTTTTCAAAGACTCGGTGAAAAAGCCCACATCCTGGATATAAAATAGGGCATCTGGGGCCCGCATCCTTAAATAATAGGAATATGGGCCCTCCAAATCTAGGATATGAGCCCCACTTTAAACATACGCAACGTTTCAGCATAAATAGATTCGATTTTGAGCCCTTTGCAGTGATTCATTGCACACAATCTGCAAATCTGGAAACAAAGTTTCCATGGGTTCATCACGTGATGGCAGGCTTTGATGTGTTGCTTCACAGAGTCAGAATGCAAAGGACTATACAGGACACGGGAGTGTGCCTTGGGGAGGCATTGCTACGCCACGAACTGCTCGTTCTATATGGGGTGCT